GTACTTCAGTTTCCAATATCTGTAAAATGGAGACAGTATTTCCCACAGAGTTGTTCTGAAAATTAAGTAAGATATAGTTTGTAAAGTAGTAAGTACAGTGCCTTATACTGAGAAAGCATTGAAAAAATGTTAATATATTTCATTGTTTTCATAATTCAACTGTCATCCAAAATTATCAGTTTAGGTAGCATGAGATGGCGATTCAGTGACCTATTTACCTTTTTCTGCATGAATCATAGTATTGTAAATATGAAGAAAAACCTAAGGAATTGATCCTGTTATGTACATATTTAATGCACAGGTGTTGAGATTTATAAAAGTACAATTCCTTAGAGGTAATAACTTTCAGATAATAGCTTTTAGTAATAGAATTAATTAGGAGTGTATTTGTGGCCTTTGAGAATACTGTATTAGTAGAATAGTAAGACAGAAATCTAAGTATAAGAGCTTAATTTTAATATGGAGGAAGTGGAGCTTGGGTTAAGCTATGATTTCAAGCAGAAATTTGGAAAAGAAGGATTAATTAAGTAAATGGAGAGTTAAGCAGCATTGGGTGCTCAGCAAAATCATACTTCTAATATTGACTGTCAATACTGATGTGAAACTTTTTTTCCATAGTTCTCACAGCTTAGGCTAGGAGCAAAGGAAACAATAGGGAAGTCCAGGGTTACATGTGAGAAAGACATGTGGTGGAAGATTAAGGAACTGAAGTAATTAACTTTGTCAGCAATATAACTGATGAATCATGGAGACCATATGAGACAATGTGAGAGGGAAGTTAAAAAGAGAGAAAACTGCAGGATGGGCATACTTCACTTGAATCCAGGGATGGATGGTCACTGGACCAGGTCTTTTTTATTCTATTCATTGATCCATCAAATAGTTACTGGGTACCTACATAACAGCAGGCCTCTTATTAGTTAACACGGGTTATAACAGTAAATAGGATAGATACCACCCTTGCTTTCACGGAACTTACAATCTGGTAAGGAAGACATGTATCAAACAATTGGAAGTTACAGAAGAAGGAGGGAAATCAGGATCTTTTCAGGACATTATCATGACTTTTACAGGTTTTCACTCTTCTCCACTATATCCACAATGCCTACACAGTATAGTAAGTACCATGGCTTGCATCCTAGGGAATCTATAAGTCACTGGGTTCCTTTTTTATCTCCTCTACTCCTTTGCTGCTCATTCTTTCACATCTAGGATGGCACAGCAGCAGCTTGCTAACACCTGCATCAATAAATCTGAATTAGAAGCACCAATTTAATAACAGTTTCTCTTTGTTCCGTAAGTTCTCTCCTCAGAGTTCATCTAAGGAACTTAATAGAGAAAAAGTAAATAATGAAACTAAATTCAAAGCTGAGAATGGAGAATAACTGAAAAAATTGAAAGTGGTCAAAATAGAAAAAACCCAGAACTGTACAGAATGATAGTTTTGAAAATCAAGTTACATCTGACTTGAGACTGAAGAAGTTAATATAGAAGGAAGGAAAAGCACAATTAATGGATACATCCAGTGCTTCTTATAGATTTTATTTGGCTGATGCACCTAATTTCAGTTGTTTTTCAGAATAAGGACTTTTTTTTTAAGGAATGTGAGAGAACTCTGAATTTCACAATGCAGCTCTTCTAAGCAAATTGAAAAGCTACACTGAAAATCCTGAATTTTGACATGTAGCTTTCTCAAGATAAAAACAACTAGATTCAAAAAAAAATGCTGCTGGGTTTTCGCTCTACTGATGAAAAAGAAGGTTAATTCACGGAGGACCAAGATTGCAGATATCTCAGGATGTGCTGCAGTAGTCTTTGACCTCAATGCAAATTTTATTAAATCTTGTAAGGATGCCAGGAAACTGGCAACAGTCACTGGATATCTGGATGTAGTGTTTCATTGACATCTGGATGGCTCAAAGGGTCATTATAAGATAAAGGATTTGGTCCAGTTTAGCCAGAGGCAAGTCTGTTTGAGAAAGAAATAGTATTCTGTAAAATACGAATGGAACCCAATGATACTTTTACTCACCAACTTGAAAGAGCAACAATAACTTTTTGAAATTTTGTACCGTAATGAACTTGAGAAATATATTCTTCAGGCAGCTTGAAAAAAATGAAAGATTATTGGTTTTCAGGAATAAATACGTTAGTAAAGGAACATCAAGATGATATTAAAGACTAAGGGACTCTACGCAAACCATAATGCTATGTTAGGGCAACAAAGTAGAATTTGAACCATGCCTTGAAAATACAGAAAGGGGCTCTTGGTAGCAATGGAAATCTACTTTTCAGCACAAGTAGGATGTTTATGAGAATTCCATTTTGTCTAGGATGAAGAAAGTGGTAGAAGTATTTCTCCCAAAATCTGCTCAGCAAGTAGTTTATCTCCAAAGATTATGAAGGCTTCTTCAATGAGTCAGAAGGTATGGAAAAGAATGCCTTGAAAAAAGAATTTTTCAGGATTTAACAGTTGTATAACACAAAACCATTCATGGTAATTTGGTTGCCTTTGAGGTGGGAAAAAGGTGATTTTTGTCTAGGGAGAAGAAAAAGGAAGAAGAGAAAAAAGGAAATCAAAATAATAATGAGAAGAGCAATGGCATGGCCACTAGTCTACTTGATCCTACATTGTATACAAGTGTCCTTGAAAAAGTACCTTAGGCATATCAAAGATGTTTTGAAAACAACCTCCCCGGGTAACTGATATTTAATACAATACAACTCTCCAAGATTGTCAAAACAGTTTGTTTTAGCTTAGCCCCTCAATGACTATCTTAAATTAGGAGAGCTGCTAGTTGGTTCTTTGGGGATGCTACATTATACAACTTTTTGGAGACAGCATTTACATCTAACTGTGTGTGAACAGATCAAGATGGCAGCCCTGCAGGCCCTAACCCTTCCCACACAATTTCCTATAGGTTAACAGGGAATACCATCAGCTCTTTAAGATATGGTAAGACAGTTTGAAAAGGCTCTACTACTCCAGTTCTCTGAGGAAAGGGATGCAAGTTGTAAGACAACAAGCCCCTCAAATTCGTTCTCATAGCAAAGTAACTTATTTGCCTCTACTTTGCACCACTAGGGCTCTCAGTAGGCTTTGGCATCATATATGAGAAGCTAGAGGATCCAGCCTGGATGAGAGTCCCTTAAGTCCTTGTTTCTTCAGGTCTTTGGATCCCACTTGAAGGAGCAGGAATTCCTTTATGATATCATCTCTCAAACTGAGGTTCTCCTGTTAAGCAATCAGGGCCTCAAACAGATGACTTCTGATGGAAAATACTTAGTAATTAAGGAAAACTTAAAAAAAAAAATCACCCAAAATTCCACTGTCCTCATAACTTTTAGCTTTTTTTTTTTTTTTTTTTTTTTTGAGACGGAATCTTGCTCTTTCTCCTAGGCTGGAGTACAGTGGCACAATCTTGGCTCACTGCAGCCTCCACCTCCAAAGCTAAAGCAATTCTCCTGCCTCAGCCTCCCAAGCAGTTGGGATTACAGGCACCTACCACCACACCTGGCTAATTTTTGTATTTTTAGTAGATGGGTTTACCATGTTGGCCAGGCTGGTTTTGAACTCCTAACCTCAAATGATCCACCCACCTTGGCCTCCCAAAGTGCTGAGATTACAGGCATGAGACACCACGCCCAGCCAATTTTTAGTTTTTGCATAATGCTGTCAAGTCTCCATTTTTTATTTGCATATTTAGATAAAATTTTACTTAGTTGAAGCTTACTGTACATACCCATTGTATATCAAAATTTTAACATATTTGTCTTATTTTTAATAGCACAAAAATATCAATGAATAACAATGTAATCTTGAAAAAGCATTTAAATAGAATTTCTGGATTCTCATAAAATTGATATGGATTTATGCCATTTGAAACAGTACGTGGCTAATGAGCACTTGAAATATGGCTAGTGTGAAAAGAGATGTGCTGTTAATAAAAGTACACCTGGATTTGTAAAAAGTAAAATATTTCAATTTTTATATCGAGTGCATGTTGAAATACTGTTTTGAATATATTGAGTTAAATATATTTAAACATTAAAATTATTAAAGAAAGTTTACCTTTTTATTCCTTTTACTGTGGCTACTAAAAATTTTAAATTACATACATGGCTTACGTTATTTTTCTATTAAACTGTGTTGATATAGATTATCACAAACAGCGGTGGGATCTTAAAATTAGCAAAGAAACTAAAATTTTAACAATAAGGGAATGGTTAAATCATTTTTAGTATGTTTACTAAATAGAATATTGTGCAGCCTTTCATATGTGGCCCTCCCAAAATGTATATAATGTTATATTAGGTAAAGAAAGCATGGCCAGACACCATGGCTCACACCTGTAATCACAACACTTTGGGAGGCCAAGGTAAGAGGATCAATTGAACCCAGGCAGTTGAAGCTGCAGCAAGCCATGATTATACCACTGCACTTCAGCCCAGGCAACAGAGGTAAACCCCATTTCTTTAAAAACAAAACAAAACAAAAATGATAACAAAGTTATACAATTTTTTTTTTTAACTAGGAGAATTTTTCAAAAAGCTAACTGGAGATATGTTCAGAAGATTGAATTCCAAGTGATGTTTCTCTCTTTTCCTTTTATTTTCAAATTTAAAATAAAGTCATGAAACTTATTTTTATAAGTGTTATAAAGTTTATAAAAATAAAACTTTTTTATTTTAAAAAAAGTTACTGGGTGATACTGATTCATAGACTCAGATCAAAGTAAATGAAGAAACAGTGGTATATTAGTGTTCTCAACATGGCACTGTGGAGAAAGGAGCAGCCAACTATGTCTTCCATCCCACTGCTCCATGGGAATTGGAAAGTAAAACTCCAAAAGATGGGACAGTTGATAATATATATATTGTGTTTATAAAGAATGAGATAACCTAAGTCTAAGGTCCTTCAAAGAGTTAAAGCTCTGAAAATGACTTGCCCTGTTTAAATGCTTCCCCTTGCTAAGATTTATTTTTTTCTTTATTACTAGATTCATGATGTTGCTATCTGAAGTTGAGAAATTGTCAGAAGAAATCGTGGAGATAATGCAAAATTTAAGTAGTATACAGGTTTGCATTTTTTCGTACTTCTACTACCCTGTTTGAAAAGGATAAAGGAAAGAAGTGTCCCAGGTTGGAGAATCCAATCCAGGAAAGAGATTGCACAGAGTATGTTTGACTTACTTTTCACGGGAATTTTTTTTTTAATAGAACACTATTTAACCATAATATTTTAGTAATATCTGACTTTTCATATTTAAATATAAATCGGTAGATTATGTTTAGTCTTTTTAATTAATTAAAATTTTTTTTTTTTTAGACAGAGTTTCACTCTCTTGTTGCCCAGGCTGGAGTGCAATGCAGGATCTCAGCTCACCACAACCTCTGCCTCTTGGGTTCAAGTGATTCTCCTGCCTCAGCCTTCTGAGTAGCTGGGATTACAGGCGTGCACCACCACACCGGGCTGATTTTGTAATTTTTTTTGTTAGTAGAGACAGGGTTTCTTCATGTTGGTCAGGGTGGTCTCGAACTCCTGACCTCAGGTCATCTGCCCTCCTTGGCCTCCAAAGTGCTGGAATTACATGCGTGAGCCACTGTACCCAGCCCTTATAAATTGTTTTTATTCAGGCAGTTTAGGGCTTGAAATAGTTGACTTAGCAGAAAAAGTTAAATAGCCTAACAGAGTTTAAGTGTTTCAAATGAAGGAAACAAGTACTGTATTTTCACTAGATGTGTCAGTAATCTCCTATGTGTAGAGAAAGTGAAATCATTCAAGATGGCTTTCTTGTAGGCTTTGGAGGGCAGTAGAGAGCTAGAAAATCTCATTGGAATCTCCTGTGGATCACGTTTCTTAAAAAGAGAAATGAAGAAAACCAAAGAACTAAGTAAGAATTTATGAATTTTCATTGACAGTAATTTTAAAGATAAACCTATTAATTTGTCTCAAATTTAAATTCAATAGACTTCTTTATATATATCATTACTGGACATGGGATGAAAATACTATTACCTTCTTTAAGAAGCCACATATCTTTCACCAGGATGTGTTATTTTGGGGATTCTGCTTGAATGTGAATGAAAAGACTGTACCTGGGAAACAGGTAGTAGGCGTTTTAAACATAATGTCCCCACCCCCCTTTTTTTTGAGACGGAGTCTCACTCTGTCGCCCAGGCTAGAGTGCAATGGTATGGTCTCAGCTCACTGCAACCTCCGCCTCCCAGGTTCAAGCAATTCTCCTGCCTCAGCCGCTCGAGTAGCCAGGATTACAAGGGCCTGACACCACACCCGGCTAATTTTTGTATTTTTAGTAGAGACGGGATTTCGCTTACCTCAGCCTCCCAAAATGCTGGGATTACAGGTGTGAGCCACCACACCTGGCCACCCATTTTTATGATAAGATATAATAAGGTATTCTATTTTATACTTGATAGTTATAAATTAGTTTGAATTACTTTTTTCTCATGAAGTTGTTTGTTCCAAGTAATGAGAAGTTATCCATATTCTATTAATTCTTAACGTGGGGTTTTTTCTTCTTTTAGTGACAAAAGTAACTAAACGAAAACTGTTTGAAAAGAGTTCAGTACTTCCTCACAGAGGTAAGCAGTTGTGTTTTAGTTTATTACATAAAAAGATGCTTTCATCCCATTTTGCCAAGTAAAACTAGTCATCATAAATCTTTTTTAGTGGTTTTCTTTTTTCCTCAGAGATCTCTGTTCTGAAATGTGTTCTTTTACAAGACCCTGAATCTCATTTGAAAAGTTTTATATTGTATTTAGCAGAAGAAGATATCTGATGAGATCAACTCTCTGATGATTAAACTTTTTAAATGTCTTTTGAAATGCAGTCTTCTACATAAGATTTAAATTTTATCTTTTTATTAAAATTTCTTTTTGAGAATACAAACAAATAGGAGCGACAATGCATTAATATATTGCAGGTTTTAGTTTTGCACTAGAAGCATTAAGAGTTACTTTCTAACCAGTATTCTGGAAACTTTCACATCATTAATGTGCTTTGTTCTACTATGAACTCTTATGCCTCTGAGCACTTCATAGTATGGAAAACTAAATAAACAGTTTTGAAGTTTCCATAGGAAGTACACATTCACACCTCAATAAGCAAAATAATCATGAACTATAAAATACAAAAACCTTTAAATTAATATAAGGTGATTAATAGTACTGACATGAATCCTATTTAGCAATTTCTGCAAGTGGAATTAGGCCTTAAAATGGGTGGCATGTTTGTAGCCTACCGTTTTTAAATACCTATGACTGCCGTTTATTTAGTACCTATAATTCCTATATTCTCAATACTAGGATCAGCACATCTTTACAGCAATGTGGCAAGAGAGCTACACTGTATTATCATTGTCATTATAGACAAGGAGCGAAGACAACAAAAAATATTCAGTAACGTGCCCAGGAATTTTACTTAGGTGACAGAGCAAGGATTCCAACCAAAGACCAGTCTGCCCTCAAAAACTCTGTTATTCTCATTATTCTATGTTATCTCTTCCTAAAACAAAGGAAACCATCCAATCATCCCAGCTTTCAGATTCAAACATGGCACATAATTGAAACTGCTTCAACCAATCTGACATACTTGCCTGAGTTTAGAACCTTTAATAAGCCACTGATGGGTTCACGATGGAAAGTGCTAGAATTGCCAGCCAGTCAGATCAAAAGGCCAGCTGTGTCATGGCAGGGCTGCACCTATGGCAAGACCCCAAAACTCATGTGGGAAGGCAGCTGAATAGGCTTCCTGAGCTTTTCAGTTGAATAACTAACATCTACTGTGATGCCAACAATTTAAGAACATAAAAGGTAGCTTCTTCTTGACAATGGCTTGGGCTCTTTTCTTTTTCAAAAAGAAATGTGTGTGTGTGTGTGTGTGTGTGTGTGTGTGTGTGTTTATATAAAATATATGTATTTTTTATATATTTTTTAGAGACAGGATTGTACCCTGTCACCCAGGCTGAAGTGATGATTACAGGCAGGAGCCAACACGCCTGACCTCTTGTCTCTTAAATTGTGTACTTTGATTAGAATGTGTAACTGGATTTCAGTAGTTTCAATCTCTCCTAACTTGACAAGTTTTAAAGGATCACATTGGGAAAGCGAAATGTTTATTATTTCCCAACTGGAAGAAATCTTGCCAATCTATATTCTATGCCAATAGTGTGATTTTTTAAAAAATCTGTAACTCCCTAGAACTAATTAGAATTAGGCTTAACATAGTTGGCTTTTGCAAACAGCTTTGAGAAATAAGAGGAAAACTCTAGAATAAATAAGTGAACTGTCAATGCTAATAATGTAAAAAAAAAATTATTTTTAAATGTACACTTCATTAAAGTATTTTTCCTTCCAGGGGATACTTCTGTCATTTCCTTACAGCTATCTATAATACATCAATTATTTGTGTGTTTATGCATGATCAGCCTTGAAACTGTTTTCTATTATTTTAGACATTAAGGCTGACTTGCCCATTACCAGATTTTTCCAAAGGACTGACTGCCTGCATAGAGGAGACTGTATCACTAAATCATGTTTGTAAATTTCTAATAATTATTGATTATTTGTTGGTTTAAATGAAAACTCAGTTTAAAATATATAATATATAGTATCTAGATAAGTATGTTATGTATTACTGTGTATTATATTCTATGTAGTCATCTTCCAGTTCTGTTTCTTGTTAGGAGCTACATTAGCTCTTTATATTTCCTAAGGTATTAAAAACTTCATTAGCATTTTACCTAATTTTGGAAAATTCATATTGCCTGAAAAATAGATTAAACATTATTTATCTTTTGTAATTTGAGTTTGAGCTATATAATTTTCCCGAGTGGTTTTCCTACCTCTTTCTCTGGTTCCTAACATATATATTAGTTCTTGGGGATTTTTGTTTGTTTTGTTTTTTGGTTAACGATTATGTACACACGCAAACATGCACACACATGTAAATTTTTTACTAAGGTAACAATTTTTACCCTTTTCTGCTCATACATTCATTTTAAGAGGATTTTGCTAATTTTTTTTGACATATCATGCTAATTTGCTTTAGTTCCTTATTTTGCAATCTGGCCTTGAAATTTCCACTTTCCTTTTTTTTATGTATTAATTTTTACTATGCTATTATGCAAAATTGTTTAAGTTTTAAAATGTTTTGGGAATTTGTCATAATAGTAGAAAATAAGTAAAATAAAAATCATCCCTATAATATGTATAGGATATATTAAGGTAATTATAAAAATGAGAATAAGCCAATTACTTGTTTCACAATCAAAAGAATGTCCTTCAGATTCTTCTGGGTTTTTGGTGTTTTGTTTTGTTCTTTTGTCTTTCAGATTCTTATAAAATTTTCCTGGAATACTTAAAATAGACAGTACCATGAGAATTTCGATGTTTATGCTATCATTGCCTCTTCTAGTTGGTCTTTTAGTTCTACTAATATTTATTTTTTCATTTCTGTGGGAATTTCAGTTACTTTAGTTGCCGTCTTTATTACAGTAAGAGTATAAATATAAAAATAACACTAATGTTTTAAGTAAATAGACATCTGACACACATTCTTAAGGCTTTATGTAACTTATTCAAGAGAAATTTAAAATAAACACAATAAAATTAAAACGCACACTGAGATTTTCATAATTTCATAAAACTGGACCCTGTAAATGGGGATGCCTTGATGAGAATATATGAATAAAAGATCTCCTCTGCTAAACATAGATTTCTTAAACAAAGGAAGACTTCTTTCTTTCTTCAGTTACTTAGGAAATAAGCCTAATTTTGCTTTCCTCAGTAACACTGGCTTTATGACTATTAGGAAAATAATTAAATGAAAGGTTTTTTTTCTGTTTGATTTGGATGTGAATTTTCATAATTATTTTAAATTTGTTATGCTGAAGATTTAAAACATGACTATTCAGTGGGCTGATACAGATGGAATGTCACATTATCATCACATGGTGAGGCATGAAATTTATTTACTTTACATAATCAACCTCTTCTTAAAACAACTTGATACAAATATTCCTTAGTCAATAGACGGCATTATATAGTACATAATAGTTTCAGTTTTTTTCTGAAGATATTACAAAATACCACCATTGTTTGTCTATGACTAGTACTTCCAATAAACAAAATGTTTTTGAAAAGAATGTAAGCAAATTGTAGAGCAGTTGCCAAGATATGAAATCTAGACACTTAGCTTCAGTCCAAAACGTATTTTATCTGTTTTGAGAATAATTGTGTAGGTTGCAGTATGCATATTTTAAATGAAATGGAACCATCTGAACTTTACATTGTTCAAAAAAGTTGACTGTTTCAGCTGTTTGTAATAGAAAATATTTCAGAATGTCCAACTCTGGTCTGTTTTAAAAGGCATAAACTGCAATGTTCCTGTTTCCTTTAGTTAACTTTCTATATTCTTACGTAGTAAAATTTATCTTAGTTATAGGATTTTAAAGTTACCAAATTCTTAGACAACAGGAAAAATTTAAAACTCCTTCTGTTCTAACACTATAAAATAGTTTGATGTTGCCTCTTCATTCTAACCACCCACTGAAGTATTTTTTAAACATAAAAATATGTTGTTCTTTCCCCCACTCAGGCTTGAAAAAGTATTCATCATATCAGCTAAATAATTTCAGTCCCAGAAGACTACTACCCTTTTAGTTTTCTGTTTTAACATTAAACAGTATCTTTTTTCAAACAGGTACTTCAATTTTAAAAGCACTGAGGTTTGAAGTTTAGACATGAGGACTTTTAGGAGAAACAACAGAAATTTCCCCTCTGCTTTAACATTCTGGGTTTATCTGGAGATAAAAAATGGAGCCATTAATTTTGATAGCACAAATATACATTAATGTACACCTATAGTCCTCAGCTCTTTATAATGATTCAGCTATCATGTATGCCATACGTGAGTCATAACCTTTCCTATTAATAATGTTAATGCTCTTTGTTTTACACTATTCGTCATTGTTTTGGGGGATGCATTTCAACTGCTAAAAATGCTTACTTGAGATTTGTCTAGGATTTAAGTAAAAATAAACTGGTTTATTACTTTTCAGAGCCTTTTAAATAATTTCTTCCATGATTTAAATTCTTTTATACTTTAAAAGAAGTAGGATCATTTTTCTTTCAAATAAAATCGGTAAAAAAAAATTTTAACTATAGATTTGGACTCACTTAGTAGCAATTAGGTGTTTAAGAGGTGTAAATAACTTGCTATCAGACATTACAAATATCCAGGTGCTCTGTATGTGCTGATGACAACAGAATTGAAAAGAAAGACTGTAATAATTCTGACTGGTTTTCTCTGCAGAAGATATTGATTATTTGTGTGTGGTGAGAGATTTGGAAAATTCAATTAAAGGAGTTGTGCAAAGGTTTCATAAATTTTCCTTCTACAGCGTGTACACAGACATTGTTGCGTATTAAATCAATGCAGCACTTCACAATATATTTTCTTTGAAACATAAAAATAAATAACATTTAAACAGTTCTGCTTACTACAGAAACAAATTTTATTTTCTGTGAAGCATTTAGTCATGTGCTATCACTGACTCATACACATTTGCCAGCTGTAACAAATTTTATAGACATTTTCCCCAGAGACATATCTCACATACTATGAATTTTTAAATGAGCAAATGGTGAAGAAGGGATGTCAGCAATATAAAAATTGATCAGTTAAAAGATAAAAGCATAAGTAAAGAGATTTGTATGGTAGTCTTAATAGGTTTTATTAAATAAAAATACTATGAAAAGACAGTAATGAATAGACTGAAGACTGTTCTTGAGGTGCAGAAAAATTATTCTGGCACATTTAGTAGAAATTGGTTTTATGTCACCTGAGAGGTGAAAACTTTTTTTTCCCATTTTTAACTCTCAGAGTAGTCAAAAAAGCCCCACAAAAGAGTGACATAAATTATCTAAGTGGTTTACATATTTTAAACACAATAAAGCAAATGTTTATCATATTATTTAACTAGTTATATAGTTAAAAGCAGGACTTGGTAATTATTAAATATTAGTTGGTTTTTCCTCCAGCTCAGACCTCAGGTAAGAGGAGGGTAGTCACTTTTATTCATACTATTTGCACCAGGTGCTTCAGCTCTCTGGAACCTCTCTTTGAGGACTCCGGAACACTGCTATTTTTCCCTCTACCTAGATTGCCTTCTTCTCTATCTGGCAAACTCCTGCTCATCCTTTAAGGTCAGCCACAGATGTCACAACCTCTGTGAAGCTCTCCCCAGCTCTCCTAGGTAAAGCTAAATTTTAGTTTCATCTTCTAGGCTCCCACAATACTTGTCTGAATATTTTAAATGTTTTGTGTTGTAGTGCATTGTAATTGTCTGGTTACAGGACTCTTTCTGCGCTCTGCTTTAGCAAACAGACAGAAAGTCTTATCTGTCTAGTACAGCGCCTGCATAGAAGGTCCATGTGCAGTGCAGCCAATGTGTGAATGAACAAAAAGAATGTTTTAAAAAGAATTCTCTAAGTATTTTCAAATACTTGTAAATTGCTGTTTTCTTACTTCATTAATGTTTATTGAGTGCCTACCATGCTCCAGGCATTATCCTAGCATTGGGAACACACTGACAAACAAGGCAGACATAGTCCTGCCCTCAGGAGTATAGAATCTAGCACAAACGACAAGTAATTTAGTAACCACAAAGAGCATACTAATGATGGTAATAAGCATGTACTGTAATAAATGTCTTGGAGGTTTTCATGATAAATTTGAAAGCATTCTGAAATAGAGTCAGGCTAACTGTAGGATGTTGAAATGAGAATTTATAGCCTCAGTGCTGCTATTTTTAATGTGAAACAATACTTTAGGTTGTTTTAATTTCATTTCGATTCAACATTTATTCTGTATCATATACTGTGGCAAGTTACTTTGAACTGTTTTCTGAAGAAAAAACCTTTCTTCTTTTCTATAGAATCATGTCATCTTGACAGCTATGAATTCCTTAAAGCCATTTTAAACTGAGGTACTGTTTCACCTTTCTAATTTCGTTTAAGGTTGTGAAATTTCACTGTTTTGTTTAGGTGGAAACATTTTATTTACATAATCCGATTTGGTATTGTCTTTCTATAAGAAAACAGGGATATGAGCTTTGGAGCTTTAGTTGAAATTATATTAATCTAATCTCATAAACACAGGAGGGCAGTCTGACATCTGTTAGCGGGTAATTGGAAAAGAACTGTTGAGCTGATGAGGCTAACTTTTTGAGGACACATTTTTAACTGAGTGTAAAAGCGTCCTTAATCAAGCACCTTTCACATAAATAGCTAAATAGACTAGCTAAATAGTTGCTGACAAGTGGATTACAGTTTCTGACTGAAGAAGATATAACCAGTCTGTTAAATTTGGAAATGTGCTAAATTAAGTAAATCCTTATATATTAATTTGTTATACCTTGCTTTCAGAACAATTCCTATTGATTCAGCAATACAAGTAAAAATGATATGTTTACAAATAGCTTATTGTAACATATAAGCTAAAAGCAATATGAGTCATGATATATTAGTGTTTAGTGTACCTGTAATTGAAAGTTTGCATTAAGAACTGGCATTAGGGGCTAGGCACAGTGATTGATGCCTGTAATCCTAGCACTGTGAGAGGCCAAGGTGAGAGGATCGCTTGATCCCAGGACCAACCTAGGCAACATAGTGAGAGACCTTGTCTCTACAAAAAATAGAAAAGTTAGTTGGGTGTGGTAGCACATGCCTATAGTCCCAGCTACTCAGGAGGCTGACTTGGGAGGATCACTTGAGCCTACATGGTTAAGGCTGTAGTGAGACATGATCGCTGACCTCCAGCCTGGGTGACAGAGTGAGACCCTGCCTAGAGAAAAAAAAAAGATTTCTTAGCTTACCAGGTATGCTGCCTGCTATCTCTTAGGGAAAAAAATTAAAGCACAATTAAATAATTATATATTTGGAAATGGTATCTCAGGTGATTAATATTAGCTCCCTGACAAGCTAGTCTTAATATATGCAAAGCACCTTATATAGAAAATTATGTCACAGATTTTTATGAAAACGTTTATTCTGTTGTATGCAGTAGCTTATACTCTGTTTGCAGTAAATAATAGCTTATAATAGCTAATATTTATTGAGTATTTTCTTTTGTTTTATTTTTTGGGAATTTTTTTGAGACAGTGGCTCACTACAGCCTCCGCCTCCTGGGTTCAAGTGATTCTCCTGCCTCAGCCTTCTGAGTAGCTGGGATTACAGGTGAGCACCACCGTGCCCAGCTAATTGTTTGTATTTTTAGTAGAGATGGGGTTTCACCATGTTGTCCAGGCTAGTCACTAGTCACTCCTAACCTCAAGTGATCCACTTGTCTTGGCCTCCCAAAGTGCTGGGATTACAGACGTGAGCCACTGCACCTGGCCTTACTGAGTACTTTCTATGTGCCAGCAGTGTTATAAGCACTTTATACATATCCCATTTAATCTTCACAACAACTTGTGAGGTAGATACAGTTATTACTTTTATTTTATAGGTGAGGCAATTGAGGCACAAATGAGGTTAAGTACCTTGTCCCAGAATCACCTTCAACAGGGCTGGGATACTAAACTGAGTAGTCTCGTGCCAGAGCCTATGCTCTTGCCACTACCCAGCAGTAATCTGTGAATGTCAGGCTTCACTACTGGCCAAGGATTTTATATCCTATTAAGTAAGGATAATATATACATATTATCTTTATATGTCCTATATGTAATAGGGTATATATACATGTATGTATATCCTATTACATATAGAATATACATACATATATCCTATATATATATATATATCCATCCACATACACCTATATTCATTCATTATAAGGTTAACATTTTATAAAATTTCTGACCCATGAAAATCCAACAGAGAACATATTAGATGGTGATCATAGATACGTCTTCAGAGTTACACATTTAGTAAATGAACATGCACATTTAGTGTTTGATAGTCTCCTTAATAAACTTACAGGGAATTCAGAGTACTGAGAATAGCTTTGTGTTAATGGATTTTAGTAAAGATAACCACGTTTTGGGGTGTTCTTTTGAGTCTTTAAGTAATACTTTCAAGAAACTTGAAAGAATTAGGGTTCTACCAATCAACTTCCCTTTCAGTGAGAAGCAAAAGAAAAATGACAGTGAAATTAAGTGACTTCACCTTTGAGGAATCTGCCTCAGTTCTGCTTTTGACCATGTTTTCTTCTCACTTTAAGCATTTTCTTCATTATCTCTTTCATTCCCTGGCTGTTTACCTTAGTGTATATGGTTTCCAAATTATTTGTGACCTCTCTCCTGGACTCTAAACCCACAATGTCAGCTCCCATACAATGTCCCCCAAGTATACTGATTTCATCGTTTCCCCTTCAAAGTTGCTTTTCCTTCTATTTTTAGGGATTGGTCAAATTCTCTTTTTGTCCCCACATCCAAACTTCTGAGAATGCTTAATTGTCCTTTCCACACCCACTGGACCAATTTATTCCTTTATTACCTCTCTTCCAGATTATCATTGTCCTTATTGTAACTTACCTGTCTGCCCTTAGGTCCCTTTCCCCTACAGCCTCTCCTGCTACTGGACAAATGTATGCTTTAGAAGACATTACTCTACTGTATGTACAATGAAATCCACATTTAACCTGACATTCAGGGACCTGATCTGCCACAGCTTGCCTTTCCAGTTTCTTCATTGTGCCTCATTCGCTCTAGATTACTTGCCATTTCCCAGACACCTTCCCTACTCCAGAAAGTGCCTGTCTCGTGTCCTTACCTTTGGTCTTGTCTGATCTGCCTAGCATGCCTTTGCTCTCATTTTTGCCGAAATTTTATCCATCTTTCAAAACCTGCTTGGAACTCAACTTCTACATAAGCTTCCCCAAATCCCTTTCCCCATATTTTCTCACTGCTCTTTTGTGTATTTGTCATAGCTGCCTGACTGGTATGCATAAGGGAGGATGTGAATGAAATTCCCGATTTTGTCCCTTTGCCCTAGAAACCTGACACACAGTACTCCTGATATCACTGTGGCCAAATTCCCTGCCTGCACAACAGCTCCAGCCCTCTGTCACATTTCAGTGATTATTCCTCTTGACCTGTAATTGTTCAGTGGGTAGGACTGTCCCATACAAATTGACTCCCAGAGCCTTTAAAAAGTGAAGCCTTTATGAAACAATGCTAGAATTAAGAGAGAAAGTTAGGGTGACAGCAACCCAGAGGCCACAGCCAGAGTGCTAAGACCATCAAAAGAAGGGAAGAGAAAAATATTTTGGCTAATGTTAACAGGGGATACTGAGATATTTTAGTAACAATGTGGATGAATCACTTGGGTAACAGAAGGATGAGACTTAGTATGGACAAAGCACTGTGTATAATGAGTTTGAAACCTAATGAGGACACAAGACCAATATAAGGCAAGTTATGATAAATGATACAAGTTCAGACTCTTCTGTCCAATAACAAGTACAAACAAGGATTGTGAATCCAGTGAGGATCAACGTATTAACTTGATTGATGATGGAATTGATAAGCTCCAACATGGGAAGCTCTAAGGTAGAAGCTTGGGGTAACAAAGGTAGATTGCCTTAAGGCAGAGATGCACGCCTCTTTGTCACACTGAGTAAATCTTGAACTCTGTGCACTTTCCTGAACCTAAAATCTGGATCTTTGAAATAGACCCCCCAAGTCCATGTGGCTCTAATGCTGTGAAGACCACAGGCCTGCCTTTTATGTGCTTGATGGCAGGTCAGCACAATAGAATGGGCTGGTCTCCCTACTACATGAAATTAGGAAGTATTATAATTAAAAAAAGGTCCACTGGGATTGAGAGTAAGACAGTGATAGGGAAACACAAGAAGGGAAGAATTTTTGTAATGTTACTAGTAAAATGTAGACCAGTGAATGTTCTGGACTTTGTCCAATCAAATTCATCACACTTTGGAGTGCAGAGGAAGAGCTGACAGACGTTTCTTCCCCTTCAGACTGAGAAGTATAAACATTCCTCTCTATTGTAAGTACCAAATGAAGAATAAGCAGTGTTATGGGAATTCACAGCAGACATAGATCACCTCAGGATGGGATTATCAGTTTGCTTTTTTTAAAGACAGGCTCTTGTTCTGTCACCCTGGCTGGAATGCAATGCTGCGATCATAGCTCACTGCATCTTTGCCTTTCTGGGCTCAAGCAGTCCTTCTGCCTTGGCCTCCCAAATGCTAGGATTACAGGCATGAGCCATCGCTCCCAGCCTTATTAGGTCATTTGTAAAGATCTTTTCCCACATACCCTATGGTAATGTATGCCATCAGTTGCCAATGACTGCTTTCTTCAAAGGCTTTCTCTCACAGAAGAGTCCTAAACCTGAAAAGACATGAGCCTCTATCACCACTAGGAGTCCCCAGCGGGACATATTCTGAATAGGAATCTGTCATAGTAAACATTGTCTTTTGGGCGATGGTGGGGGGTGGAGGGTGGGGGGCAGCTGTTGGAGGAAACACCTGCTGAAAGGCCCCTAAGGCTTAGAGAAAAGGCATGTAAATTTGGAGTTTTGTGTAGGCCCTGTGGAGTTTTAAAATTCTCTGAGAAGTATCTCATGTCAGTATAGTCACATAAGGTAAAGAATACTGACTGCTATGTCAAATTAGTCAAAAATAAGCAAATGAGGCTGGGCATGGTGGCTCACGTCTGTAATCCCAGCACTTTGGGAGGCTACAGCAGGCAGATAATGAGCTCAGGAGTTCGAGACCAGCCTGGCCAATATAGTGAAACCCTGTCTCTACTAAAAATATAAAAATTAGCTGAGTGTGGTGGCACGTGCCTGTAGTTTCAGCTACTTGGGAGGCCGAGGCAGGAGAATTGCTTGAACCTGGGAGGCAAAGGCTGCAGTGAGCTGAGACCATGCTATTGCACTCCAGCCTGGGTGGCAGAGTAAGACTCCATCTCAAAAAATAAAAATAAGCAAATGAGAGGTTGCCAGCATCTAACTAAACTAGGTACCAAATAAGATTATTAATGGGTGTTAAAATCATTTCTTAAGTCATGTATGAGATGCATGTTAACTAATTTTTGATAATATAATTATCTTTTATATCCCACAGGCATTTAGAAGAAATGCACTCACCATAAGCATCAACTTCTGCATCTGCCTGATCATATTTAAAGGAACAGAGAAATATTTGTAATTAATCTGCCCAGTAAATACCAGCTTGTAGCAGTCGGCAGGTGCACGTCTAGATAAAATTTCTTGCAGCTAATTTAAACTTTCTACACACACCAGTAGATAATCTCAATGTAAATAATACATTTCTTCTTGACCCTTTAATGTAAGCCAACATGGAGAGGAGGATCTTGACTTATATTCTGTAGCACATACATTTCTGTGGACTTTCAGCACTTCTGGGTAGACTTAATAAAGCATGTATAAAAATGGCACCTTTGGTAGAGCTATTTTTCTGAAATGCAGATTAAATATAATGGTGAGTGGAATTAAGTACCAGTTTTCCCATTTAAAGCCTCAGCTGCTTATTAATTTATAGATTCTTTAAAAAAATTTTTTTAATTTATCTAGTCTGTTGTGTAGCCACTACCTCAGAAATGAGTTTTTATTTTCCTATGCTTGTACAGAAAAATACATTTTCAAGGTTTTAAAATGTCAATACCATTTATAAAATATTAAAATGTATTTTTCAGTACAAATGTTTTAAATAAAGTTTTTTTAACTAAACCACACAGGCTACTGAATTTAAGGAAAAGACTTTTTGAGGGCAATATGTGATCCCTTCTAAATTTTGAAATATTAAATTTCAATTATTCTGTAGTGTTTTCTGTCATCATCATGTTTTTATTGTCACTCCCGAAATACAGGGTGAAGGGAATCAGAGAGTATGTTATCTTGATAATGAAACCTATGCTTTTCTTGACCATTTCTATAGGGAAAAACTGTTATTGCTTTGGTACTTGCCCTAAGTTTTAGCAAAATTAGCAGAAAATATTACCATGTCATTTGAGTATATCATGAAAATAAAAACTACATGGAAATCTGGAACAAAATTTAACAAATTAAGGTCGAAAACAACTCATTTTCCACTGTGTGCAATGGTACAAGCCTTTAATCTCAGCTACTGCTCGGGTGGCTGAAACAGGAGGATTGCTTGAGCCCAGGAGTTTAAGACCAGACTAGGCAACACAGCAAGACACCTATCTCAGAGAAAAAAAAAACTTTCCACTTAGAGAAATTTTAGATTCACCTTTTTAAAATGAAAGGTTTTTAATACAAATATATAAATTACCGTCATTATTTTATACTATATACTAATATAAATTATATAAATTACCTTCATTATTTTCTTCATACTGTTTAAATAAGAAATTTATTCTGATACAGTGCTTCTAATAGGATGTTACCAAAAATATCCTAAAAAAGGATTATTCTAGCATTGAAAACTAACGTTAGGTTGTAAGCCAAAACATTTTATGAAGTAACTTAGGTTGGGTAATACAGAGTTAAGAAATAGGTTGGTTTCATATATAATCCAAGTTATATAGATGTGTGCTTAATGCTATTAGACCAGTTACTGTATGTTTGACCTCTTGATATACTAAGCTTTTGCCTTTCAGAACAGCTGGGTCTGCTGAGAATCATTTCCCAGTTCTTTTCATTGTAGATCAGATGACTCTCACTTTATCACCCTTGGAGGCCACATGAAGGACAAAGCAGAAAGATCCACACACAAAACTAATGTTTATATGGGGGGAGGGGGAGTTGCAGAGGATATACTTGGCCCTGATCTTCCAATGAGCATAACAGAATTGAGACTTGAAACCACTGTGTTACTTTAACCATTATTTAGTTATATCCTATCCATCTCTTTCTCTCTGTTGAACAGAGAGGCTTCTTTGGCTGCCTTGATTTTTGTAAATGTTTCACTCAATTTGTTGTGGTTTATCATTTGGACAGAATGCAACATCGGGGATTTTTCTACCCTCCCTAAGTCCTCAAGGGAAAATGACTTGTGTATGCCTCATATATGATACATGAACATACACCCTATTCTCTTCATTTTAAGAAGCAAACCTATTTTAGAAGCTTAAGATAGAATCTTGGAGGAAAAAAAGAAGCAAACCTAAGTTTATTGGCAGCTGAGAAAACTGCATTTCTCAGAAATGCCTCCTCCATCTAAAATATACTTGAATGTAATTTTGAAGGGCTTATTTTTTGACAGGTATATTAGTGAAGAAAGTGAGAAATCTATCTTTAATATTTTTGCATAACCAAAATATATATTAAAACATTCCCATAACCCTGAGTTTAAGAGAAATGCTTTGGAATTGCCTACTTCTGTGATCATAATTCATCACTGGATATTTTTGATATTTTGCCTTTTTTGAGATGGTATCTCACTGGTCTCAAGTGATCATCCTGCCTCACCGTCTCAAACAGCTGTGATGACAGGCCACTGTGCCTAGCCTCTCTTTTTGGTATTTTGGAACCTAATCCCTCTAAGTTCAATGTAAACTCTTAAACTGGTTTGTGATAGATATGAGGGATACTTATAACTGCTACAAGTCCCTGTAAAAACTACAGTGTAACTCAATATGATTAGATTAAATCATCTGAAAAAATTGTTTAATTTACAGAATTTACCTATATGCCTTGAATCAGGTGCATTTCATTTTACTGATATATATATATACATAATACTTCTATTTCCAAATAATATTCTATTCCAATTATTTATAAGTTGTAACTTAAAATTTCCTCATCATTTATTTAAGTCAGCAGTCTATGTTAAACACAAGTATACTATTACAAAAAATATATTTTAAAATAAAGCTACACCAGCCAGCCAAGATACTGACATTTGGGCCCAGTGATTACAGATGGTGACCGTGGACAGCGATGTTCCTGCTGATTCGGCAGTGATTCAAGGCTGCTTTTCTGTGCTGACCTGCCCTTTGAGTCTTAATGCACATTTGCTTTGAGAAAGAAATCCTTCTAGATTTTTGCTTTGTCTAAACCCACTTTCTTTATCAGACTTAGAAACAAATACCTTCTTACATCAGCCTGCGACTGTCCCTGTCTAGAACCAGTTTATGTGTGTGTGTGTGTGTGTGTACATGGTTTGACTTGCACTATTTTAAAATATACCATCACTTAATATGGTTTAATGGCTATCTTATGAAAGAAATATATTCCTTAAAAAATGTTGATGGGAAAATCATTGATTTATCTTTATTAGAGAGACTAAAGAAAACATCTTTATAGGAGAAACTACAACACGGATATCATGCATTAATTTTACCAGTTGAATACTATAATAGATAAGGGCTTCTGCTAATACAAGGTGATACAGTATTAATAGGATGAAATTAACATGAATCAATGCTCTGGCAATGGTAACCCTGAACCATGTCATAACAACAACTATATATATATATGAAATGTCAAACAGAATGATTCTGGAAGTTTGGAACTAGTCAGATGTATAATTAAAAAGACTTCATTCAAACCACATAGAGTTAAAACTTACATTTAAATTCAGGAAAATTCATTTTTAATTGTATTAGTTAATCTGCATTCTTGGAAATAAATAAGATCATGGTTTAATTTATTTGCCTTGTTTTAAAAAAATCAAATTTGCCTGTGTAATAAAGCATATTCAAAGTTCAAGCAGTTTAAATTGCCTTCTCAGTAATTAAAAAGATTATCACAAATTTAATTCCCTAAGATATAACTTCTAAACAGTGAAATACACACTACTTGCATTCTAATGTAAGAAAAACTAAGTTTGAATACCAAAATTAGGGATTTCCATTAAAAAGAAGGGGCTCAGTTCTCCCATTAAGCTCACTATATGGTCTGATGAAGTAGGTTTAGACAAAGAAAATATCAAGAAATATTTCTTTCTCAATTTTTTCAAGACATTTATAAAGTGCATTTCCTAAGTAAACACTGGCATTAAGGACATTTTTCTTTTTTCTGCACTTGAATAGCTGTGAATATTGATAAAACCACAATATGTTTTGGCCGAGCAATATTTAGACAAGCCTCCGTTGATCTTTGATCTCCATATACATTTATTTTGTGTAGACAACATGACTTTTCACTGTTTCCTATAGTTCCATGGTTTTCTCAAAATGGTAATTTTATTTATACAGAGCAAAAAGTTCACAAAACCTTTTAGCACTGTTCACATTTTCACATTTGTTTAGGAGTACAGCTAGCTGATTTTCTTCTGATTTCTTCTATTTTTGGAATCCCACATGATTATAATGTTAAAGTATACCAAGAAGAACAGGAAGTTCAAGCAAGATACAAAACACACCAATACAGAAAATAAGTCCGGTAGTTTCTGAGGAGGATTCAGTGTGACAGTCATCAGCGTCAGAAGCACCATAGTGATTACTGAAATAAGAAACTGCAAGAGAAAAATGGATTACTGAGTAGTATAAAAGGTGAACACCGACGACCTATAGCTATCAAATGAGCAGAATTAAAGGTGAGGGTTAAGGGTCCAGTTTCTTTTACTGGTGTATCTCAGCTTTGACTTCCTATTAGAATCATATGAGGGGTTTTTTAAATCCCAGTGCATATGTCACACCCCAGAACAATTAAATCAGAATGTCTAGAGTAGGCCTCAGTACTTTTTTAAGCCCTCCAAGGAATTCCCATGTGTAGCTAAGTCCTGAGGACCCCTGTCTTATGCTTCCTACCACCCAGGCACTGAAGAAAGGTATCTGGGAGAGATGGTAATGCTAGTCAGTTAAATTTACAGCATCGCCTGGGGCCCTACAGGATATAAAATTCTAAGCTAATGGGTACAAATATACAGGTAGATAGAGGAAATAAAACCTGTTCGGCAGATCGGTAGGGTGACTATAGTTAACATTAATGTACATTTCAAAATAGCTAGAAAATAATAAGTTGAATGTTCCTAGCATAAAGACATATTTTTAAGGTAATGGATAGCCCAGTTACCCTGATTTGATTCTCACACATTACATTAATGTATGAAATTATCACATGTACCTCTAAAATATATATATCTAGTCTGTGTCAATTTTTTAAAATTCTAAGGTAATTCTGAGTACCCATCTGTGAAAAAGTTTTCCATGACAAATGGAAAATCCTATTTCATATTCACTAAATGCTCTCAATGAGTAAAGCACAGTAGGGCACATGAAAAAAAAATGTGGTCCTCTGGCCTCAAAGAGTTTTTCATCTACTTAGGAGAATGTTAAATAAAATCACAAAGTCAGACTGGCTTAAATACCAAGATGAGTAGTAAAAATAATTAGCATATTTATTGTAGTTGTGTGGTCATCAGTTAGTGTGGTCTTCTCTAGGCCAATGTGCTATACAATAGAACTTCCTGCAGTAGTGAAAATGTTTTATGTCTGCAATCCAGTTAGTAGCTGCTAACCACATGTGACTATTGGGCATTTGAAATGTGTACTGTGACTGAGAAACTGAATTTTTATTTAAATTTAATATGTCTAAATTTCTCTATGTGTCTAGTGGCTACTATACTGGACAGACTGTGGCTCTGGACTTAACTCCTTTAAGACAAAGACCAGCAAAATCTTACAGATTTTATCCCTAGCACAGTACATAGGTATACAAAAGCAAGCACTGAGAAACAGTAGTGACTTCCATGTAGGAGGTGGGGTAAAGATAGAACCCTAAAGGATGACTTCATTGCTGGCTACCTTATAACAGTATTGGTAAGATCTAAATAGAGAGTAATGCAGTGATCATTCCAAATGGAAAAGCAAGGATAGGCACCAAGAAAGCCTACAAGTAGATAAAAACAAGGCTGCCAGTACTGTTAAAGGAAAAATTCCTGAGGCAACCTTAGTGGGAACTGCAAACATCTGGAATGAAATCTTCAAAATAAAAGTTTCAAACTTAAGAAATATGGGACTGGCTGAAGTGTCATAATACTGTGATCTTGAATCAGTGTTAAACAGGCATGCAGAAATTTCTCCCATCTTAAACAAAAACCCTCTCTTGCTCCAACTATCAACCCATTTGTCTGCTCCGCTTTACACTCGTTTCCCAAAACACTTGCCTATAAACATGCTGTGTCCAGTCTTTGTCCCATTCACTAGTGAACCCACACCAGTTAGGCTTTCACCCCAGCCACTGTGAAACTGCTATAGACAGTTATCCATAATGACCTCCAGTGTACTAAATGCAATGGTCAATTCTTATTGCCTTACTTGATTCTCTCATTAGCATTTGAAATCACTCCCCTCTCACTGAAACACTTCCTTCACTTGGCTTCCAGGACATCACACTCTCCCGGTTCTCTCCTATCCCACCCAGTTAATTCTTAGACGTCTTTGTTGGTTCCTCATGTACCCTACCTCTGCATTTTGGGGCTTAGTACTTATTCCTCTTATTAGTCTATACTCATACCCTTAGTGAGTCATCCAGTAGCATGAGTTTAATTACCAACTATATGTAAAACACTCAACTTTGTCTCCAGCTTGGCCCTTTCCCCTAAAACAGGATTGTCTGATCTTTTGACTTCCCTGGGCTACAATGGAAAAAGAATTGTCTTGCACCACAGATAAAATACACTAACAATAGCTGATGAGCTTTAAAAAAAAAATTGCAAAAAAACTCCATGTTTTAAGAAAGTTGTATTGGGCTGCATTCAAAGCTGTCCTCAGCTACAGGTTAGATAAGCTTTCACTAAACTCTAGACTCATATCCAGGTGCTCCTTAATATCTCTACTTGGATATGTACTAGACACCTAAAACTGACATGTAAAAAAATAAACTCTTGATCTCCCCAAACTCCACACTGCCCCCACCACACACAAAAGTTCCTTCAACATGCTTCCTTCGACTCGCTAAATAGCAACTCCACCCATTCAGTTATTTATACCAAAAACCTTGGAGTCATCCTGAACACCTCTCTTTCACAACCCCAGCAATTCCTGTTGGCTCTACCTTCAAAATATATCCAAAATCTGACCAGTTCTAACCACTTCCACTGCTACCCTGGTCCACAGCACCATCATCTCTCTTCCATTATGCACAATCTATTCTCCACATAGCTGCCAAATGGACCTTTTAAAAATGTAAGTCAGGGCCAGATGTGGTGGTTCATGCCTGTAATCCCAGTACTTTATGAGGCCAAGGCAGGCAGATAATGAGGTCAGGAGATCAAGACCATCCTGGCCAACATGGTGAAACCCTGTCTACTAAAATATAAAAAATTAGCCAGACATGGTGATGGATGCAAATAGTCCCAGCTACTTGGGAGGCTGAGTCAGGGGAATGCTTAAACCTGGGAGGCAGAGGTTGCAGTGAGCCAAGATTGTGCCACTGCACTCCAGTCTGGCAACAGAGCAAGACTCCATCTCAAAATACACACACACACACACACACACAATGTAATATTCTAGTCCCATTATGGGAAACTATTACCTCTCTAATCTTAGGTCCTATTATTTGTTTCCCTCACCCAGCTCCAATCACCATGACCTCCATGATGTTCACTGCATTTGCAGTTTTCTCTTCTAGGATGTTCTACTCTCAATTATCTACACAGTTTACTTCCTTACTTCCTTTGGTTTTTTGCTAAAGAAAGCCCTACCACTTTAAAATTGCATTAATCCCCCCACCCCCAGGTATCATATCCATTTCTCCCTTGCTTTGTTGTTCTCTATAGCACTTATCATCCTCTGACATGCTATGTATTTTATGTATGCTGGTGTCAGATTTCTCCACTAGAATGCAACCTCCATGAGAGCAAGAATTTCTGTTAGTTTTGGTCACTGCTGTACCCTCAGCCTCCAGAACAATGCTTGGCATACAGTAAGTGCTCAAAAACTATTTATTAAAGAACAAATAAATCTGGGAGCCCCTGGTGGTCCTCACCTTAAGATCACTGGACCAGATTGTGAATATCACAATAGGGCTACAGTTTGGCATACACTTAGGAATCTGGGCCTGTGCTAACAAAAAATGAACTTTATATCCACTTTCCATTTGAACCCCTGAGTAAAGTTAATCCTCACCTTGTCTTTCCTGTTCACTTCTTAACTTCCTCCCACACCCCCATCCTCCATGGTCATTACCTAAAGTGCAAAACCCTCAGGATACCCATTCAACTCTGCCTGAGGATACCTGCCTTGTCTTCCTACAAGATCTAAATATAAAATATCTCCTTTGAAACCTTCCCCTACACTCCCCTAATAAAGTTAGTCATTCTTCTCTCTGTTTTCTGGGTACTTTGGGCAATCCTCCATGTAGTCCTCAAAAATATAAATAAGTATAGCTTGTTGGGCCGGACGCAGTGGCTCACGCCTGTAATCTCAGCACTTTGAGAGGACAAGGCGGGCAGATCACAAGGTCAGGAGTTCAAGACCAGCCTGGCCAACATGATGAAATCCCATTTCTATTAAAAATACAAAAATTAGCTGGGCATGGTAGGCGTGCCTGTAGTCCAGCTACTTTTGAGGCTGAGGCAGGAGAATCGCTTGAACCTGGGAAGCAGAGTTTGTAGTGAGCCAAAATCACGCCATTGCACTCCAGCCTGGGTGATAGACTGAGATTTCCATCTCAAAAAATAAATAAGTAGAACCTGTTATTTCCACCACTAAAGTGTAGTCTGCATAAGAGGACTGGAAAAATAAAAGGCCTGACACATTCTGAGTGCCTGCTGTATATCAGGCATGGTATTCCTATTTTAACAGGCATGTTTATTTATTCTACAGTTATAAAACATGTTTAAGAAATTAGAGCATAGAGGCTCACACCTCTAATGCACTTTGGGAAGCTAAGGTGCAAGGGTTAGGGTGCAAGCATCATTTGAGGCCAGGAGTTTGAGAGCAGCCTGGACAACATAGTGAGACCCTGTCTCTACAAAGAATTTTTAAATTAGGCAAGCATGATGGTGTGTGCCCATAATCCTAGCTACTCAGGAGGCTGAGGAGGGAGGATCACTTGGGCCCAGGAGTTCTAGGTTGCAGTGAGCTATAAATGCACCACTGCACTCCAGCCTAGGCAACAGAGTAAGACCCTGTCTCAAAACAACAAAAAGTTCATAACATTTGTAATAGTTGCCAGATATTCTATGGAGCTTATATACTCATTCATGTATCATTTTTCACCTGCTGGACAATTGAGCTGCCCCTAATTTTTCATTATAATAATTAGATGAATAGCCATTCATTCAACAAAAATCAGATCACCTATTCTTTGCCAGGCACTGATAGATGCTACAGACAAAATGGTATATATAAAATGCAGAGTTCTTGCCCTCAAACAGATTGCAATCTAGCATTTTAGACAGCCTTGAATATAATGTGATTGCCCTTAAATATATGAACTTTATAAGTAGACAAAGACATCACATGAAAACTACATATTAGTATCTCTGATGAATGTAAATGCAAAAATCAACAAAATGCTGGCAAACTGAAGCCAGTAGAAGATAAAAGAATTATACACCATGATCCAGTAGGATTTATCCCAGGAATTCAAGATTAGTTCGACATACAGAAATCAATCAATGAAATGCATCATATTAATAGAATAAAGGGAAAAAAATACATGACCAAAGATGCAAAAAAATAATTATAATCCAACATTTTTTCATGGTAAAATCACATAAACTAGGAATTAAAGAGAACTTCCTCAATCAGATAAAGGCCATCTATATTTAAAAGCCCACAGTTAACATCATAGTTAATGGTGATAGACCAGATGCTTTCCCCCTAATATCAAGAAAATAGAAGATGTCCACTCTTCTTACTTGTATTAAACATTGTATTATAGGTCCTAGGGTAATTAGGCAAGTAAGAGAAATAAAAGATAAAAGTCATCCACATCAGAGAGAAAGATGTAAAACTCATGATTTGCAGATTTTATTATCATATATATAGAAAACTGTAGGAAATCCATTAAAAACCTATGCCAAAGAATACAAGTTCAACATACAAAAATATTGTATTCAGATATAGTAGCAATGAACATTATGAAAATGAAATTAAGAAAACCGTTCCTTTACAATAGCATTATAAAGAATTATGCTTTATGATCATGTGTTATACTTGAGTAAATTTAACAAAAGAAGTCCATAACTTATATACTGAAAACCACAAAACATTGTTGAAAGAAATTAAATATGTAAATAAATGGAAATGCATCTTGTGTTTGTTCACTAGAAGACTAAATATTAAGATGGCAATATTCATGATGAAACTCCATTTCTAAAAAAATTAGCCAAGTATGGTGGCACATGCCTGTAGTCCCAGCTATTCAGGAGGCTGAGGTGGGAAGATTGCTTGAGCCTGGGAGACAGAGGTTGCACACCACTGCACTCCAACCTGGGCAACAGAGCAAGACCCTGTCTCAAAACAAAAACAAACAAACAAACAACCCAGATATATTCCACAAATTGATATGCACAATCAATTCAGTCCCTATCAAAATCTCAGCTGGGTTTTGGAAGAAAATGGATAAACTTCTAAAAATAATATGAAAATAAAGGGATGTAAAACAGATAAAACAATCTTGTAAAAGAACAAAATCAGTGGACTCACATTTTCAATTTCAAAACTAACTACAAAGCTACAATAAAGAAGACAGTATGGCAGTGGCATAAGGATAGACATACAGATCAATGGAACAGAACTGAGAGTCCAAAAATAAACCCTTACATTTAAGAACAACTGATTTTCAACAAGAGTGCCAAGACAATTCAATGGAACTAAAATAACTGAATAAAGTCAGACTCCTACTTTAAACCATATACAACATTAACTCAAAGTTGAATCAAAGGCATAGATATAAAAAATATTAAAACTCTTAAACGAAAATACGGAGGCAAATATTCATGACCATTGGTTATACAATGGTTTCTTAGACATGACACCAAAAGTACAAGTAACAAAAGAAAAAAATAGATATACTGGATGTTATCAACATCAAAACTTTTGTACTGCAAATGATACCATCAAGAAAGTAAAAAGGCAACACACCAAATGGGAGAGGATACTTGCAAGTTAAATACCTGGTACGGAACTCATATCAAGAATATATATATAAAAAAAACTCTTACAACTCATAAAAAGACAACCCAATTTAAAATGGGCAAAGGATTTGAATAGGCATTTCTCTAAAGAGGATATACAAATGGCCAATAAGCTCATGAAAAGATGTTCAACATCATTAGTCACTAGGGAAATGAAAATCAGAACTCCGATGAAATACTATCTCGTATCCACTAAGATGGTTATAATTAGAAAGACAACAAATGCTATCAAAGATGTGGAGAAATTAGAACACTCACACATTGTTGGTGAAAATAAAGAACTGTGCTGTACTTTGGAAAACAGTTTGGAAGTTCTGAAAATGTTAAACATAGAATTACCATATAATCTAGCAATTCTACTCCCAGGTATATACCTAAAAGAAATGAAAACATATGGGCACTCAATACCTTGTAAACAAATGTTCACAGCAGCACTATTCATAACACTAAAAAAACAGCACTACTGATAACACTAAAAAAGTAGAAACAACTTAATGTCCATTAATTGATGAATGGATAAACAAAATGTGCTATGCCCATATAAGGGAATATAATTTGGTAATAAAAAGGAATAAACTACTGATATATGCTATAATATATATGACCCTCAAAAACATGCTAAGTGAAAGAACCCAGTCATAAAAGACCACAATTTTATTATCTCATCTTATGGACTGAATTAAAATTCCTATGTTGAAGCCCTAACTCCTAGTGTGACTGTATTTGGAGATAGAGCCTTTGGGGAGTAAATAAGATTAAATGAGATTATAAGAGTGGGGCCCTAATTCAATAGTACTGGTATCCTTACAAGAAAGATACAACAGAGATCCCTCTCCATGTGTGACATACAAAGTAGAAACTTTCTACAAGCCAGGAAAAGAGGCCTCACCAGAAACCAGCACTGAAGGTAGAACATTGATCTTGAACTTTTAACCTCCAGAACTCTAAGAAAATAAATTTCTGTAGTTTAAGCAACCCAGTGTGGTGTTTTGTTATGGCAGGCATAGCAGACTAATACATTACATTTGTATGAAATGTCAAAAGTACGCAAATCTATAGAGGCAGAAACTAGACAGTAGCTGTCCAAGGAAGGAAGTTAGGAGTGAGAGTGGAATGGGAAATGAAGGCTAATAGGTACAGAATTTCTTCTGGGAATGATAAAAATAATCGAAAATTAGATGATGGTGATAGTTGTACAAATCTGTGTATATTCTTAAAACCGCTAAGTTTTATAAATGGGTAAATTTATGTGAACTATGTCTCAAAAGCTATAAAATAGATATTTCAATAATTTTTTAAAACAGTGGCATATGTGCCATTTCTTAAAAATTGAACTTACCAAATATTGTATAATTCTGGAAAGAAATGTAAAACATGGAAGATATTTCCTCACAGAAATGGAAAAGGATTTCAATTGCAGTTCTTCTTCAGAAGTCTTTTCAAATATTGTAAAGGAAGTTACACAAGCTATAAAAAATGCCATCGTTGTCACAACAGAGGGCATTAGGAGTTCATCCTTCAATAGAAGAGGTAGCATACTATAAAGGAAAATTTTTAAAAATCAAAAGAGAATCATCAATTCAAACCATAACCACTTGGTAAAAAAGTTTTAAATTAGTTTACAAGAATCATACTGAAAATATATGGAAATTGGTATGACTTACCTAAATGTTGACACAAGTAAAAACCAAGTAGACATAAAAGGAATGTCACTTAAAATTAAGCAGACTGGTCTAAAATGGTAAAGAAAAAAAATTTTTAATATTATAGCATATAATTTCAACTCCTAATTGTAAAAAATATAAACACATTTTATCTTTCTGATTTTCAGGGGTAGCTTACAAAAAGCCAGGAAGGTCTTCCTTCACATGCACTACTGATTCATTATTTTAAACAGTCCAGACTAAATTAGCCTAGACGCAGGCACACAGGTATCAACTCCTCATAATAACTGGAAAACTGCTGTTTCCAGTATGCCATTAATGGAACTTTTTTTCTCTATCATACAGACAAGTAGCTTAAAAAAAGGATCAGATGAACAAATCTGAGAAGGCTTCGTCATATATTTCATACTACTTGGTAAACATGAATTCCCAGTATTGTTGTTTTCAAACACCTCTTTTATGTTCTTTCATGTTACATATTACTCCACTCAGTTAAAACTAGAGTTATGGCAGACAAGATTGTCATGCCGCTGGAGAGGACAAGAGAGACAAGAGGATAAAGGAAAACAAATTGATCATAGTAAAATTAAAAGGAGGAAGAAATTAGTAGGAAGAGCTACATGAAAAGGGCAATAGTATAGGAACAGGAAGCACAATACCAATAACTGGAACCACAGTCTTTATCAAAGAGTTGTTTAGGGGCCAGGCACAGTGGCTCATGCCTGTAATCCCAGCAGCGTGGTAGGCTAAGGCAGATAGATCACTTGGAGTCAGGAGTTCAAGACCAGCCTGGCCACCATGGTGAAACCCCATCTCTACTAAAAACAAAAAAATTAGCTGGGCTTGGTGGTGCATGCCTGTAATCCCAGCTACTCAGGAGGCCGAGGTAAGAGAATTGCTTGAACCCAGGAGGAGGAGGTTGCAGTAAGCTGAGATTGTGTGCACTTCAGCCTGGGCAACAAAGATGACAGAGTGGGACACCATCTCCAAAAAACAAACAAAAAAAGCTGTTTATGGTCATAGCTCTAAGCCCTGGGACCTCCTTACCACAACTCCTGCTCCAGTACCTTTGGGATTCAATTATGGCAAAGCTCCTTTGAGCTTTGCCATAACTGCCAATCTGAAGCAGTCTTGGTCCCCATGTTTTCCATTATTTACGTGTGACCTTGAGCAAATGAATAATCTATTTTCTTAAGTGGAAATGGAAATAATAATGATGCCTTGTGTTTTCTTTTGGTTTTTTTGTTGTTGTTGTTGTTTTGTTTTGTTTGTTTTTGAGATAGAGTTTTGCTCTTGTTGCCTAGGCTGGAGTGCAATGGTGCGATCTCAGCTCACTGCAACCTCCGCCTTCCAGTTTCAAGCAATTCTCCTGCCTCAGCCTCCTGAGTAGTTGGGATTGCAGGAATGTGCCACCATGCTTGGCTAATTTTGTATTTTTAGTAAAGATGGGGTTTCAGCATGTTGGTCAGACTGACCTTGAACTTCTGACCCAAGTGCAAGAAGATCACTTGAGCCCAGGAGTTCAAGATCAGCCTAGAGAACTTAACAAGATACCATCTCTACAAAAAAATTTAAAAATTAGCCTGGCATGGTGATGGATGCCTGGGGTACTAGTTACTTGGGATGTTGAAGTGCAAGGCTCACTTGAGCCCAGGAGTTGGAGGCTGCAGTGAGCTATGACTGTGCCACTGTGCCTGAGTAACTGAGGAAGACCTTGTCTTTTAAAAAAACTTATTACATATAAGCACTGATCTGAAAGGAATACAGAGATGATTATAACTTAGCTCCTAACTTCAAAGTACTTAAAATTCATCACCAAACAGCAAAATCCCTTACATCGTCCACCTTTTCTCTGAACCCCTCCCTTTACCACCTTGTTTGAAACAATGCCTGGCTCTCTCCTCTGAAGACAATACTGCCTTCTGCCCTCTTGACTGTGCCTATTTTTGTTGTTTCCACAGTCTTCAAGTGATTTGGCCCAGAGGTGGGAGGTAGCCTCCTTGATCTTCCACACTACTTTCATACCGGTTCTCCCTCTCTCCACCCTAATAATCTCCAGCTTTGAATCTCTTTTGTTATCACACTTTATCCCCTATTATTCCTCATCTTGTAATTACTGACCAACCAGAGGGTTGCTTCCCTCATGACCCAAAGATTCCAGCTCCTTTCTCACTATCACTCTCTACAAACCGACTAAATTCTTGGCAATTTTAACATACACATAGATCTTCCCAACGCCTCTCATTTGCTGGAACACCTCTCTTGTAGTGATCTCATCTTTAATCCTGTACCTTAGGGTCATACTTTAGACTGCAACTCCTCCATGATCAGTTCATGAACTGTACTCTCTCCACTCTGCGGCCTTTTAGTCCAACTCCAACGATCTTTTGATTGTTACTTTTCACTTTCCCTTATCCCTTTGATGGCCTTTTCCCTTTTTACCTACCTTAAATTCTAAGGTCAATCATTATAATCACTCTCATGCATTCACTCTTATGCCCTCAAGCAAGGGAGTTATCCTCACTAGACAAAACCATAAACCTGGAAATACACAACTCTCCACCAGCACTTACTCCAACCATACTGAACAACTGCTTTAGAGAAAAACATCTACCCATACTAACTGGTTTCACTTTAAATACATGATCATGATATTCAATTGTCCTGCAATTACTATATATTTCCCTGGCCCATTTATACTCTGTCTCTCCTTAAAAAAATGTTTCACACTTCTCCCTCCTACTTCCAACAGCTTCAACCCACTCTTGGCTAATGACTTTCCCTCTCACTTCAATAAAAAACTTGGAGCAGTCTCGGGAGGCCGAGGCGGGTGGATCACGAGGTCAAGAGATCGAGACCATCCTGGTCAACATGGTGAAACCCCATCTCTACTAAAAATACAAAAAATTAGCTGGGCACGGTGGCGTGTGCCTGTAGTCCCAGCTACTCAGGAGGCTGAGGCAGGAGAATTGCCTGAACCCAGGAGGCGGAGGTTGCGGTGAGCCGAGATCGCGCCATTGCACTCCAGCCTGGGTAACAAGAGCGAAACTCCATCTCAAAAAAAAAAAAAAAAACTTGAAGCAGTCAAAAGAGAACATTCTCCATGTTTTCTACCCTGGCTCCATACACTCTATACTTGACCCACAGCAAGAATGATCCATTTAAAACATCAAGTCATATTACATTTCTTACTTACTCAAAACCCTCTCATAGCTCTCTATTCCCTTCAGAATAAAAATCAAAGTTCTTAAGATGGCCTACAAGGTCCTACATGCTTTGGACCCATTACTTCTTTGACTTCACCTCGTGTTACTCCCTGCTTTGATCACTCCACTCTGACGACATTGGCCAGTTTGTTGTTTTCTACACATACTGGGTGTACCATCTTAGGGCCTTGGCACTGGCTGTCCCCCTGCCTGAATGTTATTCTCCCAGATATCCACACAGCTAAATTCCTGCCCTCCTCCTCTCTACAATGAGGCCTACCTTGACATCTGTGTTTAAAATTGCAACCCCTACCTGCATCCCATCCTCCAGTACTCCCAATTACTCTTGCTCTGTTTTATTTCTCCATCATGATATTTATTACCTTCCAACACACTAATTTCTTGTTTTTATTTTTTTATTAGTGTCTATCCTTAAGAATGATAGCTAAGAAGGCAGAGATTTTTGTCTGGAATATATCCCAAGTGCACAGAACAGTGCTGGATAAATAGTAGGCACTCAATAAATATTTACTGAATGAATTTGTTTAATGATAGGATTAGCTGGGACCAGGTCAAAAGGAAATTTTAATGCAAATTTAATATCATTTAGCAAAAATAGATTAAAGCCATGCACTGTTACAAATAATCTAGGTGCATTTGTAAAAAATGAACCCGAGAAGTTCAGTGTCTGAGAACTAATCTGGTCTGAGAACAACAGGTCCTGAGCGAGCTGCCTTTCTATGAGTAGAAATTCTGGGGAAATCTATTAACACATGTTTGAAAGTAATGTCTTTCCACATTTTCATCCCCTGGTGCCAGTGATTTGTGTAGCGTCAGCCTAGCCTCGTATAATAGTGGTAAGCTCTAACTCAGGTTTGGGACTCAGGGGATGATGGCATTAAGCAGTCTTCCCAGTCTACAATGACACAAGACTATTTTACTTAGAGCCAAGAAGCCTTCCACACTGGTCAGCCCAGCTCTGCACTAAGGTTTTAGTCCAAAGTTCCACTAATAAAAGCAATACTGCCTGCCATTTGTCACTGGTCATTCTGTACATGTATCTTTCACAGGAACCTAGTGAACGCAAGGTGAGGGGTAGAACAGTAGTGGGTTGGGATTAACCTAGAAGAGGATTTCAGTATTCCAAAGGGTTCTATGCAAGTAATATTTTAACATTAGGATATGATACTCCCAGCTGTCACCCACTGCTTTCTATGAAAACCAGAAAAAAAATTTAATGCTTCTAAAACAAAGTAGTCTGGTTACAGATTGCCGATAGGGTCTAAACTAAGCTTGCAGCAAAAAAGAGAAGGGAGGCAACATACAAAAGACCCTATGGAAGTAAATGGAAAGAAGAAGGCTACTGAATAGATGTGGAAATGAATGAAATGAAAAAAGCAAAGTGACAAACAGGCTCCAATCAGATGAAAACCTCTTTGAAGGATGTATTTTTTATATGTCCTTCCAACACACTAATTTTTGTTTTTATTTTTTTATTAGCATCTATCCTTAAGAATGATAGCTAAGAAGGCAGGGATTTTTGTCTGGAATATATCCCAAGTGCACAGAACAGTGCCTGACAAATAGTAGGCACTCAATAAATATTTATTGAATGAAATATTTGTTTAATGATATGATTAGCTGGGACCAGGTTAAAAGGAACTGTTAATGCAAACTGTAGCATGTAGAAAATATAAATGAAAAAACAGGAAGAAATTAAAACTATGTCAATAATATTCTATCAAATTTTTTCAGTTTAAAATACATTTTATAAAGAAATAAAATCAGAACTTCTGGAAAAAAACATGACTGAAATAATTTTATGCAAAGAGGTAACATTTGTGTAGTTTTGTTTTGCATTAAAATATTTGTATGTATATTATAAAGTTATATTATAAACACATACTTCAAACGTTTCTACTTACAATGATACCAAGAGAATGGATTTTTCATGTACTTGGAAAGAAAATAAAAAGAATGATAGTGCACAGCTAACCTTTAAGAAAAAAGGGGAAAAATGAGATATAACAACTTGCAAAATAGCATATCAAGTTAATTATGAATCTAAATAAAAATCATTTCAATTGAAAACTGAAAGTTTATTAAAGCTTCTATTTAGAAGTAAAATACCATCACAACACTGATATGCATATGTTAATCAAATTTAAAAATCGAAATATTTTTTCAAAAATCAATGAATGTAAAGCTTTAACCATCCAATATAAGTTCATTATATTCAGTTATTAATAAATAAAACTACTAAATACCTCAGACACAACAATCATACATTCATCCTCCCATGGAATCTCTGACAGTTTAAATTTAAAAGCATGAAAGACAAGAAGGTCAGAATCTAAAAGTGGCAAAACAAATCTATTTCAGTGTTTTAAAACATGCACTTCAATAAAATGTTTTATAAATTCATCACACGCTATTTGGAGTTTTAAGTAAAAAATTATTTTCAGAAGTTTACATTCTGCAAATTAGATATGGATAACTATCCAGTTGCTCCAGCAGAAACTTCGAATCTTATCCATGCTATATATCTAAACCATCAGGAAATAATAGCTATTAGCACCTCCTAACTACAATATCCATCCACTTCTCTCCAGTCCCCTCTGCTAAGGGTGGCAGAGGAGTGGTCTAAGCCACTATCCATCTTTATAGTAGTACAATAATCTCCTAACTGGTAATACTCCTGCTATATATGTATACACCAGTATTCATGCTATCAATTACCTCAATTATAGAAACGCATTGAGATATAATTCAGGCAAACTTGATTGAAAGAAAAATACTTTTAAAATAATTATAATGGGAAATGTTCTTAAAACTCTCAGAAATATACAATAAGAATTCAAAGCATGATCAACAAAAACAAAATAACAAAAATCTTACATTTAAAAAGTTTTAACACAATGGCTTCTTTTAAAACATACCAAACAGACAAAAATTAGAAAATAAAAAGAAATTTTTTTTCTGCCTTTAATGCACGTTATCATCTGTAACATTGCTAAAGTTACTCAAACTCTGAAATTCTATTCCTTTTTTTTTCTTCAGATGGAGTCTTGCTCTGTCACCAGGCTGGAGTGCAGTAGCATAATCTCAGCTCACTGCAACCTCCATCTCCTGGGTTCAAGTGATTCTTCTGCCTCAACCTCCCGAGTAGCTGGGACTATAGGTATGTGCCACCACACCTAGCTAATTTTTGTATTTTTAGTAGAGACTGGGTTTCCCCATGTTGGCCAGAATGGTCTCAATCTCCTAACCTCATGATTCACCCGCCTTGGCCTCCCAAAGCGCTGGTATTACAGGTATGAGTAACCATGCCCAGCCCATTATCTTTGAAATATGCATTTATTTAGCATTCTATTTCTTAGAAAAACAGCAATCTATCATAAGCTTTAAATATATTTCAGGTTGAGCCTACTGAAGACATCAGAGCATTACACCATATCCATCCTGTTCTAACTATCTGATAGAATATTAACAACAGATGACTTGGTATGCTCAGAGTTCATTCGCAGAATCAAACAACAGAAATCATCAATAAAAAGATCATGAAAAAGTAAAAAGGAACATGAAACTCTTTTTTGCATATGGTATGAGATGCACTTTTGAAGTATTTCATTGTTATGTACTTTTCTGGCTTGTTTTTATGCAATGTACTTAACTGACAGTCCCAGACTTGGAATCCTAATTTCTAAATGTTGCCTCACATAAGTCCACTAGGACTTACTGTTTTCATGTACTAAATGTTCTTGATAGTTTAAATGTATTTTTTAAATGTCATTTTATAGACCATGGCAAACAGGAACAAAATTTTAAATGCCACAGAAATACAACCAAGAAGACTTTGTAAACCTACTTAGAAAAAACCCTAAACTATCTGTCCCCTCCCCTTCTCAAAAATACATTTTAGTTTCTCTTGTACATAAATCAAACTCCAAATCTTTTCAACCAGGACATTCAAGGTCTTCAGTAATTTGGTCCATTTTTTACCCTTATCTCTCACCATATCCTCTCCTACTCTCAACACACACACACAAAGGTCACCCAAATTATATTGTTTAATAGAATATCCTGTGTCCTTTCCCACTTCTGGACCTTCAACTTCTTCCTTCTCTTTTGAACTTCTCTTCTGCTATATAACCTACTGTTCTAATCTTACCCGATTTTCAAATTTGGGCTCAAATCCCACTTGCCCTAAACAGCATTCTAAAATCTCCCCCTGAGATAATATCTCCCTTTCCCACACCATCATAGGACTTCATTTGTACCTGATAGAACTTAATACCATCTGTTTTATCACATAACTATTTAAGCTACTTATGTTCTTTGCCACTGTTTTCTGCTTTGCATTCCCTCATTAACTAATAGAAAAAAAATTAAATAGTTGAATTAACTGAAAGATTATTCTGATTGCTTAGCTTAGTGTCTAACACAGAATCTAAGTATGGGGAACATTCAATAAATGTCTGCCAAATAAATGAATGTCTTATTTCCCAACCCAGTAAATCCTGTTCCGAGCAAGAAAATAATTTTTAAAAGTTCAGTTGTGGCAAGAATTAAGTGTCTACAATAATGAAAAACTTACCAGTGTAAATTTGAATCCTTTGGAAGAGGGCTGAAGTGTTAATTTTATGCATGCAGGAAGCAGGCTCAAAAATGTAAAACAGAAGCTTAAAAAAATAATAAAAATCAAATATTTGTTTTCTTTGTAGAGGTATAAATCTAGCTTAAATAAGAAAATATTTCTTAAATATAAAGATCATATTATTCATCAACTTAAGTTGACTTCAAATTATAGTTTATTTTTATTTATTAAATTTAAAGACCAAATAACATTTAAATAAAATCTACACATTGAAAAAAAAATCTACACATTGAGAGAGATACATACTTTTATACATGACACTAAATATTTTAAAGACCAAACTTCATAATACTAAATATTGCTTCTTTTATTTTCATATTTAATAAAATGCATAGAAAATATACAAAGATACATAGTTGAAGGTGAATTGTTGAACATTCAAAATAAGAAAACATAATGAGTTATAAGAGAATGCTATATCTGCAACACAAACATTCATAAACTATACTCACAAAAGTCTCTCTGGCTCTCATTTCACAAAAGTTGATTATCTGATTTTCAAGCCCATGGTAAATCATAAAGAACAAGATTTCGGAAAGGGAGCAGGAAGCTACTAGAGCTTCTCCTACCTAATGATGGCTAATGGGTGGGGAGGAAAAAGAGCTAGAAAAAGCAGACAGACTCAACAAGTGGCCTGGAACCATTTAGTACTATGGGACATAAACCTTGAAAGGCCTGAAAACAAGTATATAACCTAATACAATAATTGATTTTCCCACTTACAGCTTTTGACTTGTCAACTTGGCTAGGCTGAACAAATGTCCCTAGAATTTCCTTCTTGTGTGCTTTTGCTAAGGTGGGCTACAAGGGAAATTCTCATAAGATCTGGAGGACAGAGAGAGGCCACACCCATCTCATCTCCCAGTTATTTGAACACTAATCTACTGTGAAAGAATTTTGCACATGTAAAACCCCTACTGAGTTGATTTTAAATTAATCAAAAGGGAGCTTGTCCTGAGGCGCCTAACTTAATCAGTTCAAAGCCCTAAAAGACCGCTGAGGCCTTCCCTAACAAAATCTGGGTCTGAATTGCTCTTCCTTCCCCCTAGATACTCCTTCCTGACTGCCTGCCTTGTGACTTTGTTTTGCTTAGCTAGCCCCTACAACTGTATAAGCCAATTCCTTGTCATAAATTCACACACACACACACTACAGTGATCTCTTACTCCTACTTCTTTGATTGATCCTGACTGACACACACTGAATATGACTCTTCAACATAATATCAATCATATTTAATGTACTCTATGTTCAAGGAGAGAACAAGGTAACAATTCAGAAAAACTTTCACATAAAATAATTCAAATAGAAGAGTTCTATTATAAAGAGCAATAGGTCTAAGTTATGTGGAAAATCCTCTAAAGAAAAACACCTTGGCTGGGTGCAGTGGCTCATGCCTATAATCCCAGTACTCTGGGAGGCTGAGGTGGGCAGATCACCTGAGGTCAGGAGTTCAAGACCAGCCTGACCAACATAGTGAAACTAAATTGCGAAATTGCATTTCGTCTCTACCAAAATGCAAAAATTAGCTGGGCATGGTGGCAGGTAATCCCAGCTACTCAGGAGGCTGAGGTAGGAGAATCACTTGAACCCAGGAGGCAGAGGTTGCAATGAGCCAAGATTGCTCCACTACACTCCAGCCTGGGTGACAGAGCCAGACCCCATTTCAAAAAAAAGAAAAACCTAATGATGCCAAATAAATGAAATAATACCATAACGCTTTTAGAGAGTAACTTATAAAATACTACATACAAACTTTGATTCTCTTACCTCATTATTAATTGGATGTGACGAGGCAAAATATCCTTAATCTTCAGAAGGACATTGAAGCTGCACCAAATATTGGCTACTTTATCCTTAAAAGAGATTTGTTAGCTTTACACTCTGATATAATTGAAAGAAATATTAAAACCCATGAAGTACAGCCCATTATCACTAATAAATTTTTTGAGATGTGAAACTTTTACTCACAATTATAACTAAATAGATTAAATCCTCCAGGAATAAACAAATGTGCACACATTGTCTCAAGCATTTTTCATTTTTGTGCAAGAAAGTTGATCAAAAGTTTTGACCCACTATAATCCAGACAGTCCCAAATACTTGATAGTTTTCAAAGAGCAGTGTACTATCCCTGAATACTAAAGTTATTCATCTTTGGAAATTTTTCTAAGAAATGTTTTTTTCATCATTTATAGAATGCATACTACATTTGACCCATTTTTATCACACACCTGAAGTTACTTAGAATAACAGACTAACCTGCTAGCTACTAGCAATGACAAGAGCTAATTGCTAATAATCAAAAAGTCTAAAGACATTAGCAGTTGTGCTAGGATGGATCACTTTCAAAATTAAGTTTGCAATTACAGCTCTCATGCTGGTGAAACTCATTCTCTACACAGCTGCTTGACATACAGCTGTGCAGACTTAACATCAAAAAAGTAACTATCACTGACAACTATACCATCCCACTTTCCTCTGCTGGATCAAAGAAAATGCTCTTCAGATTTTGAAAGCAACAGTAAATGAAAGAGACTGGCAACACCATCAAACATATCTGATACTCATTTTTATAATTATCATGATAAATGCCATTTCTGAAATGGAAGGTAAGGCAAATAGGCAGCTTACAGAGAGAGTTAAACTTTTCTTTATATGAGTATTAGAGGTTATACAAAGAAGAGGTTAGGAAAACAATTTTCAAAATTCAAATCAGCTCTGCTACATACTAGTTATAGGAATCTTTGACCTCAGTTTTTTAATCTGCGAAGTGGGGATAATAGCTACCACAAAGCTACTGTAAGGATCAAATAAAATTACATGGAAGTGTCTGGCACCTAGTAAGTGGTGGTTATAACCATAATCACTACCATCATCCTGTTGACATACAGTCATACATGTCTGTTCCTTCACAATACCAAACTCCTATCTTAGTCTCTTTCAAAATGCTGGTTCCATCTTCCTGTAAGTCAATTGAAAGATATTCTATAGAAATTTATATATTCAAAACTTAGGAAGATATAATGCTTTTAAAATTCTTTTTAAAAGAAATGTTATCCAAAAGCAAATTATCTATAAATATGTTGTTTCTGTCTAACTTTATTAAAAGGCCTTTTTGTTTCAGAAAAATGGTTTGTTTAATTTAATTACCAAATCTAAATGACCAAATTATTCAAGTAATAAAAGTTTAACAAGAGTGATTAACCTAGCATTAAATGAAATGAAAGATTCTCATTAAAAATTACTACAGATGAAGGTTATATATCTCATAAGGAATTATGACATCTTTCTGAAGCAAACATGATTATTAGTTTTACAAATAATTTCCTAAGACTAAAAACAGAATATAAACCAAAAAATTACACAGCTGTTAAAATGGCAACTGAAACTTCTCATGCTGTCTTTCATTTTGGACCCTATTTCATTACAAAAACATGTAACTGAATTATGGATCTGATGATGGCATAATTATTACCTATTGATGTAATGTACTAAAAAATGCCAGCTCAGCTAGGAGTTATATAATGGATTAAATAACTGGCAAGGTGCACACACCCTGTTGTCCTAGCTACTTGGGAGGAAGAGGCAGGAGAATCACTTGAGCCCAGGAGTTCAAGACTGTAATGCACCATGATTACACCTGCAAATAGCCACTGTGCTCCAACCTGGGCAGCATAGCAAGATCCTGTCTCATCAGTCAATTAATCAATCAAGCAATAACTGGCAAGAAATGATTACAGGAGGAAAGTAGCTGAAGTTCCTTTACTTTGTGTCTTCTACATGAAACCCCTAAAGGTCACAGGGGAGGTAAAGTAACAGAAAGAAAAGGACAGTTTTTAAACATGCCTCAAATAATCCACGATCAACTGGGAAGAGTCTTCTTAGAACCTGCAGGGTTTGTTCCCTTTCTGTAAAGAATGGCAGCCAGCAGAGAATGAAGGAAGCCACAACAGTACAAGCTAGCTTAACTAGCAACACAAACCTAGAACGAAAACAAAGGTAGTCAGTAAGATAAGGAAAGGTTAATAATTCTGCAAAATCAATCTGAGTCTCACTAAACATAATACATGCAAACATATAGTAATGCTAAATCTATGTTACCAATATAGGTTTAAGATGGGAGTCTGCTCAAATCAGAGGTAAAAAAAATTCACAATAGCTAATATGTGCACTTCAACAAAAAGACTGCTATCACCATCCTAATTAACATTTATGTTAGATGCCATTCCTATAGAAATAAGGAAATGCATTCATGAAGAAAAATATCAAATGGGGATGTATATCTAATAAGTATATAATGTAGTAAGCTCTAAAGTGATAAAATCCTACAGCAAAGCTCTAACTAGCCAATCCACATTACCAGTAAATGTACATGAATTAAAATATTTCTTTAGTTAGGAAAATTTAAAATAAAATATAGAACATGACTTAATCTCTCTCTTCCCACATGCCCTATAGCCAAAATATTTATAAGAAATCACCAATAGGCAAAATGAAAGATCACCTTCCTCCAAGTACATATGCCAAGTTATCTCAAGTACATTTTTGGAATCTGTTGTTTAAAAGTCACTCACCCCTTTCCTTTGAGGCCTTTTTTAAAACACTTGCCAAGTAAAAAGCAAAAAAATGGCAAGGAGTGGTAAAGTTCCATCTGTTTATAATTTACAGCTAAACAAAATGCCAGTGACCCTAGCAGGTCCCAGTCACAAGATACTCCAAGAATACCCCACAAAGCAAAGCCAAGACTCACAGAATTATATATGTTCCTGTGTCAAGGAAATTATCTCAATAAATTTAAAAAGACAAAGCTTGCATTTAATAGAACGTACCTCTTATGTGATTTTAAAATAACAAATACAATGAAAGCTATTTCCAAATAGAAATTCAAAGTACAGAAGTGATAAACAAACATGAAATCATGTGTAATAGCCTCAAATACATTAAGTCTACTGCTAAACGGCAACTGACTTGTTTTGGTTTAAGCAAGCTCTAGTAATTGTATACGTTGAGCCTAGATTTCATAATATGCAACTGACTTCATTTCTACATTAGTAAAGGATACTGAAAATGTCCATAGTCTATAAGAATAAGGCCTGGATACAGCAAGATGCACAATGCATTAGCAATCTGTAAAGAAAAAATTGTGAAATAAGAAAGTAATCTGTTACACAAATCAATCAGGGTAAAAGTGTGGTTTTCATCGAACATAAGAGCAAATGTTCCCCTTTTTCAGAGGTATTATACTTTCTTTTTATAAAATATTCAATTTTTATAAAACAACTCTTTAGACAATAAAGTTTTCATGGAGATGACATGGGACACTTCCATAAAAAGGAAAAAAAAATCACTAAAAGGTTTTGTCAGAGAAAGTACTTTCATAGATACAATTAGAGAAGTCAATCTAATGTTAACCTATCTAAAATCACCAAAAATAATGTTTGATAACTGAATTGAGAAGATAACAACTTTTCAAAATGTCTTTCAGTTTGGTCAATCTCACAAGCCAGCTCAAAATTCACCTTTACCAGTTTAGTAACAAATTCAGCAGGGCATGCAGTTCAACAGTACATAACTTTCAAAATTCAGCGTATCTTAGTAGTATATTAAAATAATTACTGTAAGATAAGTTGATGTTTTTGAAGTGAAAATTAATTGATAGAAAATATAATATTCCTAATTACTCTATTTCCAAAAGGATGGCTTCCCTAAGGTCTATACTTAATAGTTAGACTAATAAAGAATACATTTCAGAGATGAACTGGCAGGCTGCTTTATAACCTACCTTTTTCTTAGTTGAGATTTCTTTTAAACAGCAGCAGTACAAAACCACTGCAGGTATGTAAATCAGCAGATCAGCGATTAAAACTGAAAACACAAGTAAATGACTTTAAACATGAGTCCATCAGGATTTACAACTACCCATTAACTGCCTCCCTTCCTCCAACATTGATTGAGAATTCATTAAACAAGATTCTTGTCCCACTATGGACAGGTCCTTTCCACATTCAGCCCTTTTCAATCCCTTCACCTATGCCTAATTTCAATTGCTATATTGCAAAGGTGTCTCTTAATTTTCTCTAACAAATTCACACATTTAATCAATTACATGTTTCCAACATTCTCTCTTTGCTCTAACTTGGACTTAAAAATTAAAAATACTCAAAGCATGGAAATATTTTTTCTCAATCTATATACTCTAAATTTCCTAGTATAAAGAATAACTGAAATGCAGTGATGTGTAAGAAAAGCTTTTTAAAATATTAGTCTTTATTGAAAAGTATAAACTTCTGCTTGAGAAACAGATGAGGAGAAAACTGAAAAAAAAAATTTTAAAAAGAAAAGCAATTCATAATTTTGAACATGCAATCCTTTAGAACAAAGAAAAATAAATATATAAGTTCTTCAAATATATAACATAACTGTCTAAAGAGCTTATTTTTTTCTTATACCTCACTAAGTACAGTGTTAAGAAAAATGTAAGTGACAGCAAACTGTCAGAGTTAGATGCATGCAACCTGTCAATATGTTCACCTCCAGATGCCACATTAAAGATGAAACTGACAAACTGGAACATACCCAGAGTGAGGCAAAGGAGTGGTCAGACAGTGGCCTCAAAACCATAATCACATTCAAGAAACTGGTCATCTAAGGAATAGCTAAAGCATATAGGAATCTTTAAGTTAGAGAAGAGGTGACTTCAAATTTCTGTAGGATGTTAGGAATGTAAGGGATCAGACTTGTTCTCTGTAACCTAAAAAAACCAGAATCTGTAATGACTGGTGGAAGTTCAATTTAGGAAGGTAATTTTTAATGATCAGAGCTCTCTGAAAATAGAACAGGCTATCTCTAAAGGTTGTGAGTTCCCTGCAAGTATAGGTATTGGTTCAGAAGCTGAATAATCACATGGTGACTACATGGTTCAGAAAGGATGACAGCATTGGAAGGAGAAGTGGAGTGGTGTGGCAGAGGGAAAGGAGGCAAAACAGGTTATCTCTTGGGTCTAAGATTCCATGACTGGATGAACTGTAATGAGAACAAAACTACATTTAGATTAATTAAGGAAAAGGACTGGGCTAGCATTAAAGCATAAGTCATGTAAAGCTTTTAAAGAAATCTAAGCTTATTATTTTCAAGCTCCTACGACAGCACACACAGACGTTCAATAAATATTTGTTGAGTGGATTATTTAATTTAGAAACTGCACAATAGTATAGCATATAAGATAACAACTGCAAGGTTTGCATCAAGAAAAAAATAAATAGATTTAGAATTAGGATATTAAAGCAGCAGCCTAAAAAATTAAAGCTTCGACTTATAGCTATCTGACCTCAAGTAAAGCTATTTGCTTCATTTAACTGTGCCTCATTTTCCTCAGCTTAAAATATGAATAATAGTATTTAGCTCATTTGGGTGTTCAAGGAATTAAGTCAGATAAAAAAATGTAAAGTACCCAGAATTATTCCTTTCTACTCTTTCTTTCATGTTTTAGCTTAGATATATTTGGTGTTGGATCATATGTATATACATATATATGTGTGTGTGTGTGGGTGTGTGTGTGTGTGTGTGTGTGTGTGTAGGTATAATTACACAATTTTAAAGTCAGTAAGAACAATAATAGTACCTTTTTTTTGAGACGGAGTTTCGCTCGTTACCCAGGCTGGAGTGCAATGGTGCGATCTCGGCTCACCGCAACCTCCGCCTCCTGGGTTCAGGCAATTCTCCTACCTCAGCCTCCTGAGTAGCTGCGATTACAGGCACACACCACCGCGCCCAGCTAATTTTTTGTATTTTTAGTAGAGATGGGGTTTCACCATGCTGACCAGGATGGTCTTGATCTCTTGACCTCGTGATCCACCCTCCTTGGCCTACCAAAGTGCTGGGATTACAGGTGTGAGCCACTGCGCCCGGCCCAATAATAGTACCTTTACCAGTTTATCCAAATTTTTTTTTAAATCAAATTTTACATGCAATACCTATTGCTCTTTTACCTGTTGAACGCATGAAGAGCTTATGTGCCTGACTTTCATATCCACGTGATGTATGGAGAGCAATCCAGTCTGGATTTATAAACTTTGCCCTGCAAATAAAAGCATATATACAGGTATTTTATTTCTCATCATTTTTAGCAATAAGGATAGTTGAGGATGTATGAATTAATTAATATTTTGAAAACTGGCCATTTCTCTTATAAAGCAACAGAGTCAATGCTTAAGCTTTACTCTTTTTATTTAATCACATGAAACGGACTTAAGCTATAAAACAGCATCTGCATTGCTTATCTTCCAAGAAAACTATGTCTAACTACAAGCCCTACCTTCACAATTCTTCCAGTGTAAAACCAATCTGTCATGTCACATTTCAGTTACTAAACACATACTTTGTAAAAAGCAATATGCTGGTGTTGATCCAATAGGATCATGTTTACAATTTATAATTAGCTAGCATAACAATTGGCTATAATAAATAGATGTTAATAATCATAAATCATTGCATAAAACTAAACACAATTGTTAAAGATAAATGAAATTTTTAATCATATTAGAATAACCCTAAATACTATAATGATGATGTTTGGGGGTTTACTTTCAATCCAGGAAGCTTATTTTTGCAAAATATGAAATACACTCAAAACGACACTGCATAACAACATTTCAGTCAACAATGGACCACATGTAGGACAATGATCCCATAAAATTACACTACCATATTTTTACTCTGTTTTTCTATGTTTAAATATACAAATACCATTGTGTTATAATTGCCTATAGTAGTCAGTACAGTGACATGCTGTACAGGTTTGTAGCCTAGGAACAAAAGGCTATCCCATATAGCCTAGGTAAATAGTTTTGCCCACTAAAGAACCTTCTATGATGTTTGCACAAGGATGAAATCACCTACCATACATTTCCCAGAATGTATTCCCATCGTGAAGTGACACATGGCAGTAAAGTTGAAATTAAACAAGAAAGATGAATTCATGAGGTATTGTGAAGAAGTTCCTCAAATTTTTGCTGACACACTTCAAATCTAAGATGGAATACCACTACAGAGTAGAAATGGGTCTCTACCAAAATAGAAGTTATCTCTGTAACTATTCAGTTTCTTTAAAAGGAGTAGGAATTCTAATTTTGATCTTAAATCACAGATGAAACACTACAATTATTCTAGTTTCTAACTTGACAGATTAGTCAGTAACCATTTTGATCTATATTTTTCATTTACTTTGAGCTGTTCCAGAAAAAAAGCTTTTTTATACACACTAACACATACTAGATATATTTCTCAATAGTCCACACATACAGATAACATCTCTACTTCAAAACAAAACTAGGTTTTTTGCATTTCTTGCTAAATGTCTTCCAAAAAAAGTATAGAAATGTTCAAACTTTCATAATTTTTTTTTTTTTTCAGATGGAGTCTCGCTGTCACCCAGCCCGGAGTCAGTGGTGTGATCTCGGATCACTGCAACCTCCACCTCCTGGGTTCAAGTGATTCTCCTGCCTCAGCCTCCTGAGTAGCTGGGATTACAGGAACATACCAACACGCCCAGCTAATTGTTGTAATTTTAGTACAGACAGGGTTTCACCATATTGGTCAGGCTGGTCTCCAACTCCTGACCTTGTGACCCACCTGCCTCAGCATCCCAAGTGCTGGGATTGTAGGCATGAGCCATCGTGACCAGCTGATAGTTATTTCTTAAAACCCATTTGTAATACATAATACAATAGCAGTGGCTAGGCATAGTTGGCTCACCCCTATAATCCCAGCACTTTGGGAGGCCAAGGCAGGCAGATCACTTAAGGTCAGGAGTTTGAGACCAGCCAGCCCAACACGGTAAAACCCTGTCTCTGCTAAAAATACAAAATGAGTTGGATGTGATGGTGGATGCCTGTAGTCCCAGCTACTCAGGAGGCTGAAGCAGGAGAATCGCTTGAGCCTGGGAGGTTGAGGTTGCAGTGAGCCAAGATCATGCTACTGCACTCCAGCCTGAGTGACAGAGCAAGACTCGGTCTCAAAAAAAATTTTTTAAATATAATAGCAGCTACAAGCAATCTCTCCTCTAGTCAAGAAAGCCCAATCACACTGTTTCTTACTAAATCTGCCAAGGGCATAAAACTTTAGAGTTACAGAGGCCGGGCACGGTGGCTCACACCTGTAATCCCAGCACTTTGGAAGCCCGAGGCGGGTGGATCCCGAGGTCAAGAGATTGAGACCATCCTGGTCAACATGGTGAAACCCCGTCTCTACTAAAAATACAAAAAAATGAGCTGGGCATGGTGGCGCGTGCCTGTAATCCCAGCTACTCAGGAGGATGAGGCAGGAGAATTGCCTGAACCCAGGAGGCAGAGGTTGCGATGAGCCGAGATCATGCCATTGCACTCTAGACTAGGTAACAAGAGCGAAATTCCGTCTCAAAAGAAAAAAAAAAGAAAGAAAAACTTACATATATGCACATAGGAGACTATGATAAGCTGTAAGAGGTGGGTAATCCAATCCCCAATACTGTAAATTGTTATCACTGCTGTTAAAATACCTGAAAAAAAGAAAGATGAAAGTACCATTTCATTAATCAATATTCAAGAAGTAGACTTATAATTTAATATCACACCTCATTTATTAGAATTAAGCTTAATAATGTAATTTACTAATTATTAAGCTATTAATAATTAAGCCATGACAACAGACACAAACCAGGACTCTCCTAGGCAAACTGGGATTCGGTGTCATCCTATTATGAATAGGCTTTGTCAGTGACTAACACTCATACAACAAAAAACATGCAACAACAAAAAGAAGAACACTGTTTACAACCAATTCAACCAACATGTAACAAGAGCCTCCTTACATGCAAGGTTCTCCGAATTTTAGAAAGAAAACTAGGTCTAATGTCCACAAATTGATAGGCTCCTCTGGTTGGCCAGATGTGAAGGAACTATATACAACTACCATGACTCAAGAAATAAAAATTAAGTTGACATAATTTCTTAATCATGTCCTTTATAACTAGGCAGCTTCTTCTACTCAATTTATTTCACAAGAACACTTTACAACAGTACAAACCAAACTATATAACCCATAAATTACCATTGTTCATAAGCTTATTTCAAATGGGTCACAATCCCTCAATATCACAATCTCTTACTTTTTGGATTAAAAGCATTTCTTTAAATCAGCATTCAACATGATCCCATCAAATAACCTATTAATCATCTTCGGAAGGTCTACTCTTCTTAGTGTCAGTTACATAAAACACAGTTTTGTATGGAAGAGATGGGGATTAAAATTATCAAGGCATGCTATGCAGTCAAGACATCTGGGCATAGAGTACTACAGTATGGTACCAGCTGGTGGCCACTGTCCCTCCAGAAACATCCATGTGAGCAATCTTGGGTTCCGTGTCTAGCTGGGGCTTGAAGCCAAGAAGCAGCAAGTCCAAGAATCTCTGGGTTAGTCGGACCCCTTTTTAGCAGCTGAAATCTGGGAAACTGGGCCAGGCAAATAATGGAGACCAAAGGACCCACTTGCCTAGACAGAGATACCTGAAGACAGGTACCAATTGTGTCATTTCCAAATTCATGTTACTATAAAGGACATTAGCATAAAGTTTTATTGTATCAGCCTCAGAGCTGTTGAAGCGTTAAGCAAACAAGTAAAGTTGTGAGGTCAGTGCCTAACACAAAGTGCTCAAAAGTAGTTCCCATTGGCCACTAGCCACAAAACAACTAAGATGGACACAGCAATGGAAAACCATCAAGTAATTCAAGAATCACATTGTTCCAACACAATTTGATTTGGTTTTCAGCTTCTGAAAATAGACAAAACCTATTTTTCATTTAGTTTAACCTTGAGATCCACTGGAGATGAGTAAAAGAGGCATTGACAGTAAGCTGATAAGCATGCGACAATATATACTAAAAATAAAGTCAATGGTTGGGTTAGAAGGAAAAAAATGTATAGGGTTTATAAGAGTGTTCCCCTTTCTTATGGAAATTCATAAAGTAGAAGAAAGAGGCATAAAAGAAGATAGCTTAAAAGTGCTTCAGCCAGGCTCGGTGGCTCATGAGGTCAGAAGTTCAAAACCAGCCTGTCCAAGATGGTGAAACCCCATCCCTACTAAAAACACGAAAATTATCTGGGCATGGTGGCCGGCACCTATAATCTCAGCTACTCAGGAGCGTGAGGCAGGAGAATTGCTCGAACCTGGGCGGCAGAGGTTGCAGTGAGCTGAGATTGTGCCACTGTACTCCAGCCTGGGTGATAGAGTGCGACTCCATCTCAAAAAAAAAAAAAGAAAAAGAAAAAAGTGTTTCAAGTAAAGCTTCAAAATTTATCAGTAGAAAGGAAGCAATTAGTTGATACTCCTGGTTTACATGCTATACTTTAGATATATTAATACCTGAAAAGTTATCTAAACACTATTTATATGTTGAAATATATTTTCTCACTGAATTCCGACGTAATCTCAGTAGATGCTTAGTTAGTAAAAAAAAAAAAAAAACTCACTGCCACACAAATTATAAAATTACATTCAAGAGTATTACCATTAACTTTAAGATGTAGTTTTCTCTGACAACCCAGGGTCATCATTGATATTTTTGTTTAAAGAAAAAAATTTTTAGGTTGAAACAGTTTCAACGTTACAAAAAAGTTGCAAGAATAGTTCAAAGAACTTAGATCAAAATGTAGAAAGTTTTATAAGACAACAGACATCATTAAAAAATTCAGACAAGAAAAACAGAAAGAAGACGTTTATTTTATACACCTATACACACGTAAGGAAAATGATTAAAGTGTACAATACTGTTGTAGTAGACAGACTTTAAGGTCACCACCAAGAATACCATCGCCCGGTATTCAGACCCTTGCATGTGTACAATCTCCTCCCCTTGAGTGTGGGCAAGACCCATGACTTACATCTAACCAATACAATATGGTAAATGTGATAGGATGTCACTCTTGTGCTTCTGTTTCATATAAATGTAAGATAGATAGACTGCCTCTCACTGACTTTAAAGAAGCAAGTTGGCATATTTTAGTACATGGCCATGTTGAAGAAGCCACATAGCAACAAATGGCATGTGAGTTCTAGGAGCCAAGAGTGGTTCTCAACAAGAAACTGAAGCCCTCACTCTTGCAGATGCAAGGAAATTAATTCTGCCAATAGCCTGAGGAAACTTGGAAATGGATCCTTCTCCAGTTGAGCCTCTGATAAGTCTGTATCCCAGCTGACACCTGGATTACAGCCTCTGAGAGAGACTCTGAGCAGAATATTTATCTAAGCTGTGCCCAAACTCCTGAAACTGTGATAATAAATGTCTGTTTAAGCAATTAGCATTTGGGGTCCTTTGTTACACAGTATACAAAATTAGCATAACTTTCTTTTTTTTTTTTTTTTGAGACGGAGTTTCACTGTTACCCAGGCTGGAGTGCAATGGCACGATCTCGGCTCACCGCAACCTCCGCCTCCTGGGTTCAGGCAATTCTGCTGCCTCAGCCTCCTGAGTAGCTGGGATTACAGGCACGCGCCACCATGCCCAGCTAATTTTTTGTATTTTTAGTAGAGACGGGGTTTCATCATGTTGACCAGGACAATCTCGATCTCTTGACTTTGTGATCCACCTGCCTCGACCTCCCAAACTGCAGGGATTACAGGCGTGAGCCACCACGCCCGGCCCAACTATTTAAAAATCATATAAATCATTACAAAAATGATCATCTATTACAAACATGGGGGAAAGAAATAAACAAGTAATTTCGAAAACAAATGTAATTATCAACAAATACAATAAAAGATGCTCAGGTCACAACTGCTCCTGGGAATGCCAGTTTAAAAAGTCTGATGTTATTAAATGTTTGTCAGGGTATGTAGAAAGAGATATTCTGGTGTTACTTTAGAGTTTCCACTTCTAGGCATCTATCTAGAAAAAAATGTGCACATAAGAAATAGACTTTATAGCTGGGTTCAGTGGTTCACACCTGTAATCCCAGCACTTTGGTAGGCCAAGGTGGATGGATCATGAGGTCAAGAGACCAGGACTATCCTGGCCAACATGGTGAAACACCATCTCTACTAAAAATATAAAAATTAGCTGGGCATGGTGGCACATGCCTGTAGTCCCAGCTACTCAGGAGGCTGAGGGAGGAGAATCGCTTGAACCCAGGATGTGGAGGTTGCAGTGAGCTGAGGTCGTGCCACTGCACTCCAGCCTGGCAACAGAGCAAGACTCTGTCTCAAAAAAAAGAAAAAAAAAGAAATAGACTTTATTTAATCATTCCCCTACTAAGAGACATTTAAAGTGTTTCAGGTTTCTCTTTCATTTGAAACACTCCAAACTCTGACTAGGGAACAGGCAACCTATCAATAGGAAGCTCAATATGAAGTTCTTGCATAAAACTCTCTAATAAAGGGCTTATATAAAAACAGTGGCCAAAGCAGTCAAAAATATAATATGAACAGTTTATATAGCCAGTCTCTAAGAGAATAACCTACCAGCCATCTAGTAAGTCAATAAGTAGTGTCATCAACTGTTATCAGGATACGGTCAATAAAAATGACAAAAGCATGAATTTCTATGATGCTATAACCACAGCTAACATTTATTGAGAGTTCATTACATGCTAGGCACTGGCCTAAGTGCTTTACGTGGATCATTTTATTCAATCCTCACATCCAGTGAAATATGTAGTCTCTTATTTTCATTCTACAAGTGATAAAACAGTGGTTGAGAAAGTTACATAATTTACCAAAGTCACATAGCTAATAAATAGTAGAAGGCAGGATGCGAACTCAGGCAGTCTGACTCTGGCACCTATACTCTTTACTACTGAGCTACTGCTACTTTATATTTCAGGTAGACTTGTATATAAAATTAAGGTTAATCACCACTGCTCAATTATAATAGAGAACAATAAGTAACAAACATTTCTATGGCAGTCTCTGACTTCTGAGAAACAGAAGGTTCGATATATACAATACCATAAAACCAATGAAGGGTAGAGCTGACCTCCTCCTTCATAATACAAAGAGAAAGCTACAGAAATGAAACCATATGAAAACGAACACATGGGCCAGGTGCGGTGGCTCACACCTATAATCCTAGCACTTTGGGAAGCTGAGGCAGGTGGATCACAAGGTCAGGAGTTCAATACCAGCCTGGCCAACATGATGAAACCTCGTCTCTACTAAAAATCACAAAAATTAGCCAGGCATGGTGGCAGGTGCCTGTAATCCCAGCTACTGGAAAGGCTGAGGCAGGAGAATCACTTGAACATGAGTGGCAGAGGCTGCAGTGAGCCAAGATCACGCCACTACACTCCAGCCTGGATGACAAAGTGAGACTGCATCTCAAAAAAAAAAAAAAAAAGAGAGAGAGAGAAAAGAAAATGAACACCTAAATACTCATTCCTTCCACAAATTTTTATTGAGGGTCTACAATGTGCCATGCCCTATACTAGATGCAGGGTATTCAAAGGTGAACCAAAAGGATATATGTGAAATTTTCAGAGTTGAAAACAGGTCCTATTATTGCAGGCTTCTCCCTTTGGCCCCTTTTTCAGCTCTGCAAATTCAGCTATCGGCTACTGCCAGAGCTCTCATCTACTTTTATCTGTAGCTATAATCACAGTGATCTTTAGTAAGAGAAACAGTGGATGAGGAAACAGGGAAGAAATGTTTCTGGCCTATGATGATCCTTCCATAGTTTATATCCAGAGGACATATAGACATTCAGAGTTTTATCATCCAGGTGCTAGTTCAGCATCACAGCCCACCTAAGTATACGAATTAACTTTCAGGACTATCAAATTTCAAAGACAGGCCTACAAAATGCAAGGCAATCCACATGTGGCATCAGTATGCAAGAGATGAGGATGTTCAAGATGAAGAAAATAGCGTGTTGTCCTCTTAAATATTTTCAAACAATCTATATTAACTATGATAAACAAGAAAACCAAGTTAAAATTACCATACCATTGTTTGACTGGTAAATTAAAAGTAATTTCCTGCCAGTGTCTCTGAGCTTCATAATCACCAAACATAGGGGGTTTTCCAGCACCTAAGATGAAAGGAAAAAATAGCAAAACAATGTACTTTAGCATATCAGTGATTTTTATTTCTTTACGAAAATTGTCTAAATTAGAGAGGCAGTGTAAGTTACAGAAAGAACACAGGAGTTACCGAAAAAGTCAGAGATAAAGTCTGTAATCTTAGCACTGCTTGCACACTGCTGGTATGACATTGGGCAAATTACTTAATCCCCTAAACTTCAGCACATTAAAAACAGGACCAATACAGCTTCACTACTGAGGACTATTGGAATTAATAAGAAAATGGATATAAATGCCCAGCATAGTGCCTGGCACACAGTAAACTTTCAATAAATAGCAGCTATTGTTAACATTACAATCATCCCTCAGTATCTGTAGGGGATTTGTTCCAGGACCCCCACCTCCCACTACCACAGATACCAAACTTTGTGGATGCTCAAAATCATACCTTATATAAAATGGCATAGTATTTGCATATAACTCTCTGCTCATCCTCCTGTACACTTTAAATCATCTTTGGATTATTTATAATACATAACAATGTAAAATCCTAGGTAAACAGTTGTTATACTGTATTGTTTAGGGTATGATGACAAAAGAAAAAGTCCACATGTTCAGTACAGGCACAATCATCCTTTTTTATTTCCTGAATAGTTTCAATCCATGGTTTGCTGGATCCACAGATATAGAACCCATGGATACAGAGGGCTGACTGTACTTAATAATAATTATATCCAAGTTTATTTTTACTTCATAAGGCTGTCAACTATACTGCCCAAGATGTACCCTAAAATAATAACATGTGTATCTGCATTTTACAAGGGATTTTTTTTTTTGAGACAGCATCTTGCTCTGTCACCCAGTCTGTAGTACAATGGCACAATCTTGGCTCAGTGCAACCTCCACCTCTGGGGTTCAAGCGGTTCTCATGCCTCAGCCTCCCAAGTAGCTGGGATTACAGGCATGTGCTACCACACCTAGCTAATTTTTGTATTTTTAGTAGAGACTGGGTTTCACCATGTTGGCCAGGCTGGTCTGGAACTCCTGGCATCAAGTCATCTGCCCACGTCCACCTCCTAAAGTGCTGGGATTATAAAACATGAGCCACCATGCCCAGCAATTACAAAGGACTTTTACAAACTACATATAAATAACATAAGGTCAAGAATAGGGTCAAAAACAGACTATATGTTACAAAGATATTAATTCGGTAAGGCTTTGCTGTCAAGTTGTATAAAAACTGTTGGTTTATTGTTTGATTTTTTTAATTTCAAAATTGCAAATAAGGGATAATGGACTTGTAATAACTAATACTTGATAGTACTTACTATATGCCAAATACAACAACTGTATGAAATAGGTATTATCATTATCCCTACTTTACAGCTGGAAAAACAAAGGCAATGGCCATTCAGATATTAAGTAGCAAATCTGGATTTCGATCCAGGCAGACTAGCTTCATAATCCATGCTCTTAGCTGCTATTCTGTAATACCTCATAATGTGGTTAAATAGTTTTACTTTTAAATCATTTTAAATGATATAAAGGTATCTCCATTTAGTAAAGAGTAAACACCCACTCACTATTATAACTAACAGTTCACTATAAAATTGTGAGAAGACTCAAAGAGGTACAGTATAATCACAGCTTGTTAAACTGGCACGTAAGGTAAAAATCACATATAGTCAAATATACTCATTAATCCATTAGGAAAGTGTGCGACATATTATTGCTCACTGAAATCCAATCCAGATTTTCTCCAGTTTTAGAACATTACATGAAGTAAAATGTTTGTATTTAATTGTTGGATTATACCAATATTCTTTAACTGCTATAATCTCTATCTAAGAAGATACTCCCACTTTGAGACAATGATGGAAAAGCAGATTAACTTTTCTATAGCATATATACACTGAGTAATTTGCACAAGAAATTAACCATAGTATACATGCATGTGCATGTGTCTCTATCTCTCAGAAAGAACCATGTCTTACTAATTTTTGCATTCTCAGAATAAAATAGCATCTAGTAGATTCTCAATGCCACCCTCATAGATTATCAGTGAATGTTAATACAGCAAAGACTTTTAAGTTCAAAAGACTTGGGTTTGTGCATCCCTGATTTTTCACTTATTAATCTGCAACATTAATTTGTGACGGCAGACCAATTAATTATGCCGAGGCTGCTTTAACACGATGCCATATGAGTTTTTACACAAAAACATCTTTAAGTTACTATCTGACACTTTGAAATTCAATGTTTCTGTTCATATTGCTTATCCTATATTCTATACATCTCTTCTATCAACTCATATCCAACCTTCAAGAATCATCTGAAATCCTAAATCTTCCATGAAGCCTTCCTTCATAAATTAAAAACATATTGATCATTAATTATTGACTTCTCATAATACTTATACTTTCAGTTACCATATGTTTTATCATATGATTATACTATTTCATCCTATAGACAGAGAAACTGATCGGCATATAGTATAGTAAAAGGTTACTTAATTAAACTGGAGAGGAAGAATAACCTACAATAATAAAAAATTTTTTAAGAAAAAAATTCCCCAAAGAATTAAGTGCATTTTTGTATATATATTCTTTGGCAGGGGGATTTATGTTTCTATTTTAAAGATTACAACCATTGACTCTGGGGGTGGAAAGGAGTTGACGTTCCTTTTTATTTGTTTTGTTTTTATTTTCAGTCCACTGGGATAATAAAAGTCAGACAGAATCTTAAGTAATTTTTCTATACCTGAAGAAATCCAACTATCTAGATTTTCTGAAATTGCTCTAGACTTGTGGTCAATGTGGAGGAATTTATTACCATGTTCTAACAAATAGAAGAATGGATAATGACTCTCTTTAGGGTTGGGAAACAAGTTCCTATCCAGAGTCTGACCTACTTCAATAAATTCAGCCAACACTGGCTATGAAATTAGTACTTAAGTTTTAAAAACTGCTAAAGTGCCCTTAAAGCAACCCAGAAGGACAACCCAACTGTACCTATGGGAGCTTCACTTTGAAAGGGCAAAAAGGATTCTGTCCACAGTGAATAATTCTACAAATTCATTTACATAAGATTCAGAATTAAATAAAGAAAACACACTAATGTATATTCACCCAGCTTCAATTTTGTCTCATTCTCAGATAAATGAGCTTAAGCACTACTTAAATATTCATTTTATTAATTGTTGAACTATTCATAATTATGTTTGAATTTTAAAAACAAGTAGTTTTGTTGTTAACAATACTTACTGCTTTTAAATGAAAATTTTAAACATTTAAGAGAAGAGAATTTGGCTAAAATTTTCCATGATAAAATGTTCCTTTTGGCCAGGTGCGGTGGCTCATACCTGTAATCCCAGCACTTTGGGAGGCCGAGGTGGGTGGATCACCTGAGGTCAGAAGTTCAAGACCAGCCTGGCCAACATAGTGAAACCTCATCTCTACTAAAAATACAAAAATTAGCTGGGTGTGTCCGCACACACCTGTAATCCCAGCTACTAAGGAGGCCGAGGCAGGAGAATCGCTTGAACCCAAGAGATGGAGGTTGCAGTGAGCCGAGATTGTGCCATTGCACTTCAGCCTGGGCGACAAGAAAAAAAAGAAACAACAAAAAACTTTAAAAGCAGGGGAATAAAGTTAAGGTATAGAGTTTTTGTTAGCGTTCTCTTTGCTTATTTGTTATTTTTTACAATTAGTATTAAGTAATCGTTAGCTTAAAATAATGACTTATAAGATGTTATCTGCCAGCCTGGGGAACATGGCCAAACCCCATCTCTATAAAAATACAAAAATTAGCTGAGCATGGTGGCATGTGCCTGTTGTCTCAGCTACTTGGGAGGCAGAGGTGAAAGGATCACTTGAGTCTGTAAGGAGGAAGTTGCAATGAGCCAAGATCACGTCACTTAGGCTGGGCACAGTGGCTCATGCCTGTAATCTCAGCACTTTGGGAGGCTGAGGCAGGCAGATCAATTGAGGTCAGGAGTTCAAGACCAGCCTGGCCAACATGGTGAAAACTTGTCTCTACTAAAAATGCAAAAATATTAGCCAGGCGTGGTGGCATATGCCTATAATCCCAGCTACTCGAGAGGCTGAGGCAGGAGAATCGCTTGAACAGTCTGTTGTCTACAAGAAACATACTTATAAAGACACAAATAGACTGAAAATAAAAGAATGAAAAAGAATATTCCATGCAAATGTAAACTAAAAAGGGTAGGAGTAGCTATACTTGTAACAGACAAAACAGATTTCAAGACAAAAAGCTATAAAAAGAGACAAAGAGGCCAGGCGTGTGGCTCACGCCTGTAAATCCAGCACTTTGGGAGGCTGAGGCTGGCAGATCGCCTGAGGTCAGGAGTTCAAGACCAGCCTTGCCAACATGGTAAAGCCTCATCTCTACTAAAAATAAAAAAATTAGCCAGGTGTAGTAGTACATGCCTGTAGTCCCAACTACTTGGGAGGCTAAGGCAAGAGAATCACTTGAACCTCGGAGGCAGAAGTTGCAGTGAGCCAAGATTGCGCCACAGCACTCCAGCCTGGGTGACAGAGCAAGACTCCATCTCCAAAAAAAAAAAAAAGACAAGGTCATTATATAATGACAATGACAAATGGATCAATTCAGCAAGAAATACAACAATGGTAAGTATATATGCATCCAACGCTGGATCACCTAGATATATAAAACAAATATTATTAGAGCTAAAAAGAGAGTCTCCAATAGGATAATACCTCGAGATGTCAACATAAACACTTTCGGCACTGAACAAATCATCCAAACAAAAAATCGACAAAGAAACATCAGACTTAATCTGCCTTATAAACTAAATGGACCTACCAGATATTTATACAATATTTCATCCAATGGCTAGAAAATATACACATTCTTCTCCTTCACACACATATAGACCAATCAAGTCTTAAAAAAATTCAAAATAGGCCGGGCATGGTGGCTCACGCCTATAATACCAGCACTTAGGGAGGCCAAGGCGAGTGGATCACGAAGTCAAGAGATCGAGACCATCCTGGTCAACAAGGTGAAACCCCGTCTCTACTAAAAATACAAAAATTAGCTGGGCATGGTGGTGTGTGCCTGTAGTCCCAGCTACTGGGGAGGCTGAGGCAGGAGAATTGCTTGAACCCAGGAGGCGGAGGTTGCAGTGAGCTGAGATCATGCCATTGCACTCCAGCCTGGGTAACAGGAGCAAAACTCCATCTCAAAAAAAAAAAAAGAAAAATTCAAAATACTTATATCATATCAGGTATCCTTTCTGACCACAATAGAATAAAACTAGAAATCAGTAACAAGAGGAATTTTGGAAACAGTACAAACATATGGAAATTAATCAATATGATTCTGAATGACCAGTGTGCCAATGAAGAAATTAAGAAGAAAATTTAAAAATATCTTGAAGCAAATGAAAATGGAAACACAACATACCAAAACCTGTGGGATACAGTGAAAGTAGTACTAAGAGGAACGTTTATAGTAGTAAGTGCCTAACGTCAAAAAAGTACAAAAACTTCAAATGAACAACTTAATGAAACATCTTAAAGAACTAGAAAAGCTAGAGCAAAATAAACCCAAAATCAGTAGAAGAAATAATAAAGATCAGAGCAGAAATAAATGAAATAGAAATGGAAAAAATACAAAAGATCAATGAAACAAAAAGTTTTTGAAAAGATAAAAAAAACTGAAACACTTTTAGTCAGACTAAGGGGAAAAAGAAAGAAGACTCAAATAGATAAAATCAGAGATTAAAAAGGCGATATTACAACCAACACTGCAAAATTCAAAGGATCACCAGAGACTACTAGGAGCAATTATATGCCAATAAATTGGAAAACCTAAAAGAAACTGATAAATTCCTAGACACAAACAACCTAACTGAACCATGAAGAAATCTAAAACCTGAACAGATCAATAACAAGCAATGACATCAAAGCAGTAACTAAAAAGTCTCCCAGCAAAGAAAAGCCTAGAACCTGATGGCTTCACTGTTGAATTTTACCAAACATTTAAAGAAAAATTCTAATACTAGTCCTACTCAAACTATTCCAAAAAATAGAGGAGGAGGGAATACTTCCAAACTCATTCTATGAGCTCAGTATTTCTTAGTAACGAAACCAGAGAAAGACGTATCAAAAAAAAGAAAAAAAAACTTACATGCGAACATCCCTGATGAACACTGATACAAAAATCCACAACAAAGTACTAGCAAACTGTATTCAATAATACATTAAAAAGATCATTCATCATTACTCCACAGATATATCCCACAGTTGCAAAAATGTTTCAACATACACAAATCAATCAGTGTGGTACATCAAATAAACAAAATGAAGGACAAAAACCATATGACCATTTCAATTGATGCTGAAAAAGTATCTGATATAATTTAACATCCCTTCCTGACACAAACTCCCAAAAAATTTAGTTTAGAAAAAACATACTTCAACACAGTAAAAGCCATATATGACAGACTTAAATCTAGTATCATACTGAATGGGGAAAAACTGAAAGCCTTTCCTGTAAGATCTGGAACACAAGAAGAATCCCCACTTTTACAACTGTTACTCAACATAATACTGTTAGTCCTAGCTAGCGCAATCAGACAAGAGAAAGAAATAAAGGTCACCCAAACTGGAAAGGAAAAAGTCAAATTATCCTTCTTTGCAGATTATGTACCCTTGTATTTGGAAAAACCTAAAGACACCATCAAAAAACTATCGGAACTGTTAAACAAACTCAGTAAAGTTGCAGCATACAAAATCAACATACAAAAATCAGTAGTATTTCTACTTGCCAATGGCGAACAATTTGAAAAAAAAATTTTTTTAATTCCATTTACAATAGCCACAAATAAAATCAAATGCCTAGGAATTAACTAAAGAAGTAAAAGATCTTAATAAAAAATACTACAGAACACTAATGAAAAAAATTCCAAAAAATGGGAAAATATTCCATAGTCATGGACTGGAAGAATCAATATCATTAAAATATCCATTCTAGGCCGGGCGCAGTGGCTCAAGCCTGTAATCCCAGCACTTTGGGAGGCCGAGGCAGGTGGATCACGAGGTCAACAGATCGAGACCATCTTGGTCAACATGGTGAAACCCCGTCTCTACTAAAATTACAAAAAATTAGCTGGGCACAGTGGTGCATGCCTGTAATCCCAGCTGCTCGGGAGGCTGAGGCAGGAGAATTGCCTGAACCCAGGAGGCAGAGATTGCGGTGAGCCGAGATTGTGCCATTGCACTCCAGCCTGGGTAGCAAGAGCAAAACTCCGTCTCAAAAAAAAAAAAAAAAATATCCATTCTACCCAAAGCAATCTACAGACTCAATGCAATCTCCATCAAACTACCAATGACATTCTTCACAGAAATAGAAAAAACAATCCTAAAATTTATATGGAACCACAAAAGATCCCAAATAGCCAAAATTATCCTAAACAAAAACAACAAAACTGGAGGTATTACATTATACTGACTTCAATTATACTACAGAGCTATAGTAACCAAAACCACATGGTACTGGCATAATACAGACACACAGACCATGTAATAGAATAGAGAACCCAGAAACAAATCCACACATCTACAATGAACTCATTTTTGACAAAGGTGCCAAGACATACACTGGGGAAAAGACAGTCTCTTCAATAAATTATGCTGGGAAAACTGGATAGCTATATGCAGAAAATGAAACTAAACCCCTATCTCTCATCATATACAAAAATCAAATCAAAATGGATTAAAGACTTAAATATAAGACCTCACACTATGAAACTACTACAAGAAAACACAGAGGAAACTCTCTAGGACATTGGTCTGGGCAAAAATTTCTGGAGTAATACCCTACAAACACAAGCAACTGAAGACAAAATGGGCAAATGGGATCATACCAAGTTTGAAAGATTCTGCACAGCAAAGGAAACAATCAAGAAAGAGAGAACCCATGGAATGGGAGAAAATATTTGCAAACTACTCATCTGACAAGGGATTAACAACCAGAATATAAGGAACTCAAGCAACTCAATAGGAAAAAAATCTGAATAATCCAATTAAAAAATGGGCAAAAGATCTGAATAGACATTTTCCAAAGGAAGACATACAAATGACAAATGGGTATATGAAAAAGTACTCAACATCACTGATCAAGGGAGAAATGCAAATCAAAACTACAGTGAGATATCATCTCACCCGGGTAAAATGGCTTTTATCCAAAAGACAGGCAATGATGAATGCTGGCAAGGATGTGGAGAAAAGAAAATCCTGGTACACTGTTGGTGGGAATGTAAATTAGTACCACCACTATGGAGAACAGTATGGAGGCTCTTCAGAAAGCTGAAAAGTAGAACTACCATAAGATCCAGCAATGGGCGGGGAGTGGTGGCTCACGCCTATAATCCCAACACTTTGGGAGGCCAAGGAGGGTGGATGGTCAAGAGACGGGAGACCATCCTGGTCAACATGGTGAAACCCTGCCTCTACTAAAAATACAAAAACTAGCTGCGCATGGTGGCACACGCCTGTAGTCCCAGCTACTAAGGAGGCTGAGGCAGGAGAATTGCTTGAACCCAGGAG